TAGTTTTGCCTCCGGAATGGCGTCAGGGGTAAAGTCGACCCAGTCCATGACCGATGCCTTGTCGGCCGTGCGTCGGGCACTGAATCCAGATATAGAGACCGTTAAGGCCTCCGAGGAAGCTGTGAAGGAAGGCCTACTTCAAGCTGATGAGGATAAGCCTATCGTTAAAGGGCCCGACTGGACTAAGCGTTTTAGCGTAGTCGAGGACTATGGGCGGTTTTTGGGATAGTCGAGGGATCGGTATTAGGTCGTAAGTTCGCACCTGTCGAGTATTGAAGACTGTCCTTCTGTGACTGAGTTCGAGCTCTCGAAGACGTGCCGGAAAGCACTGAAGGGTATGGGCATCAGTCGCCTCTTCCCGGTACAGGCTACGGTCTTACCGATCGTTCTTGGAAGGGTGAGGACGCCGGTGGGAAGCAGGTAAGGGAATTTTTCACCAAGTTGGATGGCGGGGAGGACTTGTATAAGGTACGATTGTGACCTATGTGTGGCAGTGCCAACTGGGCAGGGAAAGACGTTGGGCTACCTCTTACCTGTAAGGATGATGGATAGCATCTCATGAACGCTATAGCGGCCCTTAGATATTCCAACTACTGTCTCATCGGAAGTACCAGACCCTACGTGCCCTGGTCCTCGCGCCTACACGGGACTTGGCCCTCCAGGTGAAGGAGGTGGCCGACCACTTTACGGGGGGTAAGGACAACTTCAAAGTCGACTGTGTGGTGGGACAATACCATGCCCAAACCTTTGCTGAAGAGGATGGATCATCGGCTGGTGAGGTGTTGGTGCTTGCGGTGTTGCATGAGGTCCGGTTAGGTCCAGATGTGCTGGTCGCTACGCCCTCAAGGGCCTTGGATCTGATCACGGGTGAGCGAGTACCTGTTGATGGTATTAGATGGATGGTCCTTGATGAGGCTGATAGGCTGTTGAATTCCAGTAGAGAAGCGACAGTGGAAGTGGTGGGTTAGGCCCCTTAGGGTCCGATGAGGCGATTGAGGAGCTCCCTTAGGTGAGGCGAGTGATGGAAGCTTCCCCTCGGTGTCAGCGTATGCTGTTCTCGGCTACTATGACGTCGAATCCACAGAAGCTAGCCCAGCTGGCACTCAGCCGACCGTTCTTCCTCTTGAGCACCCAGACTGGGGCTCATGCTACGCCGGAGAACCTCCGACACAGGTGGGATGGAAGTAGGGGTGAATGGGTGCCCTACAGTGCCCTCTAGGTTCGTGGTCGCCCGAGCGGAGCAGAAGAAACCTGGGGTCCTGGTATCGATACTTGGTGAAATTTACCCTCCTACTGCGTCCGAGGCCACTAGCCGCACTATGATATTCTGTGGCTCTGTGGAGCATGCACATCGATTGACTAGGTTGTTGCAGATATGTGTGGTTGGAAATGAGAATATAAAGGAAGGAATAAAGGTGAGGGGATATGGTGTCGATGAGATGTGGTAGTTGTACTCTATAGATAAGGGAGTTCAGTGCAGCACTGAACCAGAAGCAGCGGGTACGCTTACTTGAGGCCTTCCGGACTGGTCGGATTCATGTAAGAGGGGGTCCATTGGGGATTCGAAGGTTGGGGAAGGTGTGGTATAGGTACTGGTGTGTAGTGATGTGGCAGCTAGAGGCTTGGACTTCCGAGAGGTTGACCATGTCCTACAATATGATGTCCCGAATAACGTCCAGGGGTACATGTGGCTTTGGAAAAGGCTGCAATAGGGAGTATATGTGTTTAGGTATATCCATCGCTGTGGTCGGGCTGGTCGGGCTGGCCGGCAGGGGTGTAGTAGTACTATCCTTGTGGGGAAGCAAGTGAAGCATTTCAAGGATATGGTCAGTTTGAATATCCCTTCGTGTATTGAGGTAGTTTACTATGGTGTAGCTTCGAGAGGAGGAGGCGGTCACTATGGATAAGTTGGAGCAGATGAAGCCAGTCGTGGAGGACATACCGGAATACCAGGAAAAACTGTCAATGTTGGAGGTGTGCCTAAAGCGAGAGAAGAAGTAGTATCGATCAGTGTGGAGCTGTTGGGATGGTGTGTACTCTCTTCAGGGGAGTGTACTCGTTAACAGAGCCGGTCGACCCAGCTGCCCTGAAGGGCAGCCAGTCAGAGAGTGATCGAGACGTGGCTCGGGTTAAGAAGACCAAGCGGCCTCTTTCTAGTATGGTGTATGAGGCACTCCTCAGTAATGTGCGCCAGCGGTTGGGAGGTGCCCCTAAGGGCTAGGGTATGCTCCTTTGGATTTACCAACGTCTTCTATTCACGTGTACTTGGTGAGCTGTTGTGTTATTATTCCGATGGGAGGAATCAGGTATTTTGGTTCTCTCGGTCAGCTCCGTTTTGATATGGTTTCCACCAGCATCATCGAGAGGCTCGCCTTCTTGGTATCATTCATCTTATGGGGAGTAGTAGCCAGCCCTCGTGGAATTATAGTTGGGGACTGGAGGAACCTGGAAGTGTCTCGGGAGATAGTGAGACTTTTTCTCCAACGATTTCCAAGGTGATGATATCAATTCTGTTAGATCTTTCAGCCGAGCACAGTGAAGGTGACTGTGAATGTTGAGCTCGATTGCTCGATGTGTACGGGGCCGATGGGCTACACTTTTCTAAAGCTACCCAATCAGCCCTTGGGCCACCATAAGGTTAGTTTTTTTCAAGGTCTGGGATATGTGTCGGTAAGTTGGAGCAGACTCGTAGTCATGTAGAATTTGGGTATATTAGGTGGTGGAAAATGAATCTGGGAAGAGCTTGGTCGTAGAGGACTTTGGCTTGTTCGGGGAGGACAGGTATTTGAAAGTGACTCTACCGGAGGCTATGAGTAAGCAATGATTGACCGATAGAAAAGGGAGGGGTGCATTGTGACAGATAAGGCTTCACTTAACGTGGATATGGTATTTGGTAGAATGTATAGGCCTTTACCTGAGGAGATACTGGAATTGGAGGTACAGAAGGTTGAGTAAGCTCTTGGTTTCTGGGGTGTTGTGTGATGATATCTGTCTGGTCACAGGTATGTTGATGCTGTGTATTGGCCCTCCCCCTATCCTACACTTAAGGAGTCTACTACTATCAGGCTAATGAGCGAAGAGAAAATTGAGTGGGTTTGGTCGCGAATGCAGCGGGAGATGGAATTCTTCTCCTCAGACGGGTTTTGCCGGAGGGTTCAGCAAAGGTGAAGGGGAAATCGATTACCTATGGACCATACAACGATATCAAGCCTTACGAGTAGGCGCGCATAGGATTGGGAACAGGTTCGAACTGAGAATATTGGATTTACTGCTGTCAGGGGACTTCCAGACCTAATACACGTTCATGTTTCCCATCCCTTCCCTCTGCCCTATTTTGCCAAGAGCTCTAGAGTGGTAGAGGTTTCTCATTGGGGTGGGTTGCCTTGTCGTTGTATTCCTCATCCATAGGGTCGCACGTGCAGGTAGTGTGTCCGTGACGGGTCAGTTCGAGCTGGTTAATGAAGCTGCTAGGTTGGGAGGGGAGTTCTCTAGGATACCCTTTAGTATTGACAAGTGGGGGAGCAGCGGGTAGTGCAGTGTGGGAAAATATGGATATGGTCGAGTGAATGTGTTGGTGACAATATGAGAAAAAGTTTGGAAAACTCTTATTGGTTTCTGTACAGTTCTAGTCGAATTCTTATGTGAACTCCTGAGCTCATGTGAGGAAAGCGAACATATATTCGAACACTGGGGTGACTACGGTACATGTCATTCACTCCGATGGTTTTAAATTTGTTGGATGAATTACAAGTGTGAAACAATCGAGTATAGGAGAAGTTGAACAGGCATATATGATCCTGTGTATCTCAGAGAGAACCCCTACAAGGTGAAGTCATGTGTGAATGAGATAGAGGCGATCCTGCCGAGGTCAGTGCGCAATATTAACTACAGGGATGCTATTGGGAATGTTTCCTGTAAGGAGCCACTACTATTACTGACATTTTCTTATGAGGGTGCCTTTATGTAGCTACGCATGCCCGAAGGGAGGGCAAGAAGTATGTGTCGGTGCAGTTGTCGCCTAGGTAGTGTCGTGATGAGGGGAAGGGATGGTATGGTGATTGCTAGGTTTCCTATGCTTGGAGGATGGAAGGACGAATTCGAATTCTCCTATGCGCTACCATCTAAGACTGCTCTGAAGGTATGACCATGTCCTGTAGCGACGTAGAATTGCCTCCTGAGTTCAGGTGTCGTCTAGTGACAGTCATCAGTACGTGCTCAATGTGGCATTCAACCAGCCTTTTGTGAGGGTCTTTGCTCAGGAACAAGTTCTCGAGGTGGGGTCGGATTCGCGTGGTAGTGCGAATTAGAGTGAGTCTGACAGGTCGTTCTACCGGCAGGAGCTACAGGGATCAGAATTAACTCTCCAGCTGGCCTTGGAACATTTGAGTACATTCCTGAGGGGAGATACTCGTGGTTGGACTTTACTACACCGAGGAGACTAGTCCGTATAGTCTCATCTGGGTTGATCGTGCCAGAGAGGGATGCTCTTAATACCAAGATTCAGGTGGGCGTCCTCTCATTGTGGAACGGCGCTGTCATTGACTTAGATCGCTTATCACATGCCTACTGGGTTGGGTATTTTGGATAAGCCTGCTCTGCTGGTTGTGTACGTTTTCGCCCTTTTCTTGGCTTACATCGTTTTCAATAGACTAAGCTTGAGGATCGTAACGGGCAAGGCTGAGGTGAGCCTCGGTGCTATCATGTGCCCTACAGAGAGGCGGAAGGGTTATCTGTGGTAGGCATCCAAGATCGATTCCCGGGCTTGGGATTTTTCCGTGTCGTTAAAGGTGGCAGATCTTTTTGAAGATCTTTGCCACGTGAATGAGAAGGTATTGAAAGTTGCCAAAGGACCGGTTCATAAATTGGATAAGGTGATGGTACCTTATTCGGTTCACTCGAAGCTGTAACGGTTGCCAGGCTATTCTCGCCCAAACGGCAGCTGCCGAGTCGCTTTGTTCTAAGATGAGGCTGGTCATGGGCATGGACCCTTCCCCTGTTCACGGGTCTAGGAGGTATGTAAAGGTAGTCGAGCTTGGAAGCAGTGAGGGAAGGTACTCCAATACGGAACTTGCAAAGCGTGTGGTAGCGACGTGTGAGGAGTATGCGGCTTCGGCTAGGGCTCTCTCTAGGAGTCTTTCTAAGACGGCGATATCGGAGAATGATGCTAAGGTATATATAAGGGGCCTTCGGGTACATTTCACGACTGGGATGATGATCAGAAATACAACATTGTTATGGCTGAGGAGAAATCGGCGGCTAGCAAGTATAGTGATGTTGAGGAGTTGTGTGTGAATCTGATCCAGAAGATGGAGGAAGAGAGCAGAGCATCGGTAAGTATTGGAGGAGTGGAGACTTGCAAGGGTCGGTTTTAGTCTGCTCGGATGGGATATGGTGCTGGGGAGGATAAGACGACAGATGCAGTAGGGGAGTCCAAGAAGAAGAAATGAATGTGAGGTGGACGGACTGTTGAGATGCTCCTGTTTTTTGTGAACCGATTCTCACAAGTACTTCACGGTTTGTGGTTGAGTTGCTCAATATTTCTGGAGAAGGGTATGTGGTGACTAGCTCGGAAAAGGAGGATTGATCAGAATATGCAAAGCCCTCGTAGAAGAGTTACGATCAGTCGATGAGTAGCTAGTGATCAGAGTTGAACCACTCGCGAGAGTTGTGGCACAGGACAGGGTTGATGGAGTTATATGGACTCTCTCTCGCCCACAGTCGCTATATGCTCAGGCGATTCCAAAATCGTTATGATGTTGATGTTGGAAGTTATAGTACTTGGAACCACAATATTGGCATTGATATTCAATCAGAATTATACATAATGTTTGGACCTCTCTAACACTGAATTTCATAGAGTTGTGGACGTGGAAGATTTGTTCTCTCATGAGCTCTCATGGTACGACTTCACAGCTACATAGCATCCTGCGTACGCTGCATAACCGCTACACGCGAACTAAGGGAAGGGCGGTAAGATATGGAGGGGCGTCGGGGAAGTTATAGTGACAACCCCTTTGCACAGGCAGTATCGGTGATAGCAGCCGTCGGCGTATTGGTCCTGTATCGACGTTTGCAAAAATCTAATGACGAGGCCACAAGTGGTGATGGTTTTTCTCGAAAGCAAAAAAAGAAGGAACACGGCGTCGACGGCAGATTTCTGATAAGGCTGGCGAAGGTGATGGTTTTGGTCGGTCAAGAATTGTAATTGAGTATATCGCTCAGCTCCTCCCTGTCCTCGTGCCTGGCCTGCGTAGTAGAGAAGCCTTGACTCTAGCTCTCCAGACCTGTGCGCTGATCTCGCGGAGTGTATTATCAATACACATAGCTGAGGTATGCAGATGTCGTCATGTCCTTGTTGGCAATAGTAGATCAGATTACTGGTAAAGGCTTGGAAGCGGTCGCGAGAAGGGATGGAAAACTGTTCCTAAGCTCTATTGCGGATTTTGTGGTAAGCTCTTTGACTGTGTTATTCACCTATGGTGGATCCCTCAGGTGACGGGTGTGACGGCCTCAGTGGTGAACTCTGGTCTCAAGTTCATGACTAATATACTCGGAGCATGGTTCGTGTAGGAAGGCTGCCTTATGGTTTCTGTGCAAGTCGAGATGACAATGCGTCTTAGGGAAAATCTAACACACCATATTCACAAGACTTATCTCAATAAGAAGAACTACTATTTCGTGTCGGCGCACCCAGCATTAGCAGATGCTGGTTCACACACGGTAAGCGTGTTGGTGTTTTTCTCACTCACACGATAGCCTGGTCGTAGGTAGATGGGGAGGCCGCGCCCGAGCGTGGTACCGCTCTAGATAACGTAGACCATAGGCTCGTGGTGGATGTGGATAACTTCGCCAAACAATTGGCTGATTTGTATTCTAGGACCTTCAAGCCAGCGCTAGATGTCGTGTTATGCACGGCTCGCTTGGGGACTAGCCTTAAAGGGTGAGCGACGAGATTATGATGTGATTTGTAGGAGTTGTGGTATTCTCAGGTATAGTGGTCCTATCTTATTATATACATATTTTTTAGGAATATCAGCCGCTATTAGGGCGACTTCGCCGCCTATGTCGAAGCTCGTCGCTCATCAGCAGACCTTAGACGGTAAAGAGTGGGCCGTGTGGTATTGGGTATGTTTTTGGCAGTGGGGGAAATTTGCGAATGGTCAACTACATGTGTCGATGACATTTTGGGAAACTCTTGTTGGTTTCTGATCACTTCTACCGCACTTCGTGTTTAAACCCTTATAATTATGAGAGCGAACATATATTCCAACACTGGGTTTTTGGTGGTTCATAGGTAACTATAGGCGAGCTCAAGCCCGGCTAGTTTCCCATCATGAGGAAATAGCCTTTTTGAACGGTGGTGCAGCTGAGGTGATTTTGCCCCTGTACGGTGACGTGTGGCGCATATTGCTTCTAATAGGAACGGCTGTTGAACGACAGGTTGGCTTCGGCGAGTGGTTGGAAAGAGAAGCTCGCTGCTATACAATTCCGTCAGGGTTGTATCGATCAATTTGGTCTTAAGTAGATTAAGTTGGCTAGTGTGGTGGCAATGTGTTGGTATGCAGGTATTTCGCCTCAGTGGTGGGATGGCCTGTAATAGCTCTACCATTCATCACTGAAGGGGCTCCGAAAGATGGGAAGGATCAGCTTAGACGACTTACCCAGTAGATGGTATAGAGGCTTGTTGCTTTCCTTATCCTCGGCTTGTTAGGTATAGAGTCGCTGACAATCTGATCCAGACTTCAAGTGCATCACTATGTGACCTCATACTTACATATAAGAAAGTAGTAGAGCAAGAGTAGTGAGGTCGAGGACTGTGGTTTGGAGTCAATTTCCAGGTCCAAACCCTAGCTGGGTACACGGCTAGGGTGTCGGAGTTAATTGAAGCATTGAACCGATCAGACGAGCAGCACACAAGGCGGATGCGAATGCCCTCTCCAGAGGTCAGTAAACTGTTGTGGTAGAAGACACATGAGGAGTCTCAGGAAGATGCTATGCCTGACGCCGCCATTTTAGCGGCCAATGATCTCACCATCACCACGCCAGATAAATGCCGTATACTCCTCGATGGTTTCAACTTTGTGGCTAAGCCAGGTGGGGCTCCAATCGTATAGTCGTTATGTGGTTATTGATATTTTTCAGGAGACCGCGTCCTTATAACTGGGCCTAATGGTGCTGGGAAGACCTCCCTATTCCGTGTCCTAGCGGGTCTATGGCCAGCATCGGCCGGAGGTATTAGGATTAATAAGACCTTGAGCTCCGGGGCCCTACAAGAGGGAGAGTTAGGCGATGTAAGGCCCTCCCTGCAGCTCTCTGTGAAGCTCTAGTCAGACTCAATCGGCCCGATGGGCGCGTGATTACGTGCGTTGCAAACAGGAATATTCAAATTCCTTCGTATTGGTTAGTACAAGCATTTCTCTTTCTCCATGTCGGGCGCCGTGCCACTTGTCCTTAGTAGATCCGCATCATGTACCTACCCCAAAGCCCATACCTTGTATTGGGTACCCTGAGAGACCAAGTCATGTACCCTACCATCACTGATGTACATCCTGATGATTCCTTCGTCATCGAATGCCTTGAGAGAGTCGGACTGGGTGAGGATTCCTATCGCTTGCGTGCAAATATGACCCGTGCCAGGTCGGTTGCTGTCTACATACTCTCTTGACACAGAAGTGTGGGAGTGGGCTGACGTTCTATCAGGTGGAGAAAGGCAACGAATAGGCTGGGCACGTCTACTCTATCATCGTCCCTCGGTATGTCGATGCCCTACATAGTTTGGTGTTCGAGAGTCTTGTTCCTTACAATAGGTAGTAGTCCTTGACGAGGCTACATCGGCAATAGCAGTTGATGATGAAGCCCCTCTCTATGAGCTCCTCATTGGGATGAACCCAGGCATGACCATCTTTTCCATAGCTCACCGGCCTAGTCTCAGGCGGCTGCATACCTGTGAATTGCACATTGATGGAGACGGTTACGGTCATTGGACTCTGAAGAGATTAGATGAGGCGACGATCAGCCATGATGAGTCAGTTAACGTTGAAGTAAGCAACGCAGTGGAATAACCATGTTAACCATGTATAACCTCAGATGAACGATTCTGTGGAAACTGTAGATCGCACCACTCGAAGTCCGATTGGGCTCTTCGGAGCTGAACCCTCTTCTCCCTAGTGACGGCAGCATGCTTCGTATGAGCATTTCACATAATAGTCTCGTGTTTTTTCAAGTTACTTTTATGACGATGCTGAGTTGTGTTTAACGATGAAAAGTTTGAGGTTGCATCCTTCATCCTGTGTCATGGAAGAGATTAAAATTGAACGAGTGATAGCTTTTCTGGGTCACTGCGAACCGCTGAAGCGCGTAGCCGTATTACGAATGGCAAGCTAAGAGGAGCTTTGTGGTCACTGCGGGGTGGTCGAGAACATTTTTACAAAAATGCACAATGTGTATCGCTCCGCTCCGCTCGGCTTTGACCTTAGCTCATCATTGTGGGCGCTGACCCTACCCTTTGTGGCGCATTAGAGTTGTGATTAGTCGACACCATGTCATCTACTGCTACGTTCAACCCGTTCCTGGATCCCTGCTATGACGAGTCCTGGGGATGCACTTTCAACAGTATGTCCCCTTACATGTGGTAAGTTTATAGAGTGTTCAACTGCAGCTAAAGTTGATGAATGTTTTTGCATGCTGGGAATAATGGTGAAATGATGATCAGTCTGTCAGGGCTAATCTCGGTATTACCTTTTCTTTGGCATTCTCCGTTATCGGTGCTGCCTGGGGTATCTTCCTCACCGGTTCCTCATTGGTTGGTGCTGCTGTTCGTGCTCCTAGGATTAAGTAATATATGGGGATCTTGAGGTCGAACATGCGGTAATGTTTTCACTTGATTCTATTGCAGGTCTAAGAATCTTGTGTCTATTATCTTCTGTGAGGCTGTCGCTATCTATGGTGTTATTATGAGTATCATCATGAATTCCAAGATGGAGGGTGCTAGAGAATTCGTTCCCCCAGCTATCCCCACTGGTAAGTCCCTGCCATTTTCCATTACTGCCTCGTCATTGTCTAACAGGTAACATGGCTGTTGCCCAGGCTGCTGGATACTGCCTCTTCGCATGCGGTCTCTCTGTTGGTTTCTCTAACCTCTTCTGTGGTGTCTGTGTCGGTGTCTCTGGTTCCGGCTGTGCTCTTGGTGATGCTCAGAAGCCCGAGTTGTTCGTCAAGATGCTCGTTGTTGAGATCTTCGGCAGTGCCCTCGGTCTTTTCGGTATCATTGTTGGTATCATCCAGGCTGGCCAGGGAACTTTCCCTAAGGACATCACTCCCCAGATCCCCATGTAAAGAAGGAGCATCCTCATGATGATGATGGTGATGCTCGTTACTGATAAACCGGTAGTGGCTTGAGTGGTTGTCTTCGATCCGTTGCTGATAGTCTCAATAGTTGTTAAGACTCGTGGCATATTCAGTTGTGAAGTCCTTAAAGGCTTCCAGTAGTTAGTGGCTGCTGCTCTTCCGTACATCGAATCGGTTCTTGTTTAACAGCGTCATCATACCATTCTTGGCAATGCAAATCAATAAGGGTTGTCGCCGCCACAGTCCCTAGTTTTTGAGGCGTCACCACTCTTGATGAGAGTAGTACCATTACAGTTGCTAAATGCTCTAGCGAGCCGGTCTGCCCTAGTGCTAGTTGATGGTTTAGCAATCGTCTGCACTGATAACAGCATCCACTCCTTCAGCTGGCGTGAATGATTCTTCGTCCCACGACTGTTGTGTTTACGAGTTGTGAATAGGATTGTGGAACAGAGGGATCTTCTTGTCACTGATGGAAGACGTTCATCTTCATAGAGCATCGTTGAATATGGTGGTAGAAATATTGAGTACCATTCCTTGCCTTCCTCACGATGCTGTAGGTATTGGTATTGTACTCAATTTGATTATACTACCACTTCAGTAAGTGTTGTCCAGTCTTGAGGAATAGTACTCGTGCTGTGGCGCTAGAGTTTACCAGTCACTTGGTAGCTGAACCCGGAATCCTCTTGATATTGAATTTACTTTCCATTGAGTATAGGGATTCAATCAGTCTGCTATTTTGATAGTTGGTTACTTCCCTATGCCCACTTTCACAGGAGATGGAAAGTACGTAGCAGATGGCGGTGCTTATCTGCAGAAACTCTGGGAAAGCCATAAATGGAGAGAGATCAAGAACTGTCCTGGTCGTTATGTATCACCCCGTAACAAACGACTTTCTACTCTAACCCCGACGGAGGTCCTCGATAGCCTCGTGGACTTCGTCGAATGGAGACCTAAGTCATTGAAGACTGTCGTTGGTCGCGTTGGATCTCGTGTTGTATTTAGAGGAGCTCGTATAGCAGCTAATGCGAAGAGGGATAGTTGCTGGTTCTTCACATTCTGTGATGGTGGTGGACTGATTACCTACGAGAAGGCCAGTGGTGTCTTCGTTCACACGTTGAACACTCAATCGGGTTTGATGAGGAAGGTGAATGCGGTGGCACCTATCGAGCTTTCTGCAGCACTTCAACTGGGTGTGGTAGAAAAGATGGTACTCCATATATTGTCGTTCCTTGACGACACATCTCAGAATGCTGGAGCATATCTATTAGTGTTGACGACTAGAAAGTTTCTGAATTACTTATGTTAGCGAACGAGGGTCAAACTCGGTCAATGAGAAGCCAAGCATGTGGGGTAGATTACGTCGCGATTAGTATATCGACTCAAGCAAGGCTCATCAATTCGGAACGGGTAATCATTTATGTGAAAAGAATGACGAATAATTCCATTTGTAGGGAAGAAATGGAATTAGACGAAAGACAGCCATCATAACGACAACCGTCAGACGATCTGCTGAAATGTCCTTCCCGCGTTGACTCAACGCCGTTGAGGGAACTCGAAGTAGGGGTAGAAGTTTTACGCCTGGAATCCTGGTAACCAGGACCTGCTTCCGGCCCTGGATTCCAGCGAAGGTCCAATCCTTGAGAGTCTCCTTCCCTGTAATGTCCCCCCAACTAAGCTCGCAACATGCTCGAACAGTTGCAACTTAGTTTTTCCCACTCACCCACACAATAATGGTGACGATAACCTTTGGTGTTTAGTTGAGTGAGGAGTTAGGGTATTTGAGGTGGATACTCGGAGCGTATCCAAACGAAGCTATTGTTGGGGATGCAAGATCTGTAGCTCTTTGTGATTTCTCGAGATAAGCTAATCACAAATATCCCCAACCCGAGTATCTAGCAGCGCTGAAAAACAGACTTCTTCGTATAAGAGAGGGCGATCAAATACGTGCATTCTCTAAACATCCCAAATATACAAGAAGTCTGCATTGCGCCTCCCCCGCAACCTTATAACGGGTGGGTTGGGCAGGGTAAACACTCAGGTATCGTCCCCATATCCCGTTCCCGCCTACATTTCAGTCGAACCTTGAACTTGCCCAATGAATTGACCACGTCATTTTTGGGTATCATCGTTGGTATCATCCAGGCCGGTCAAGGAACCTTCCCTAAGGACATCACTCCCCAGATCCCCATGTAAAGAAGGAGCATCCTCATGATGATGATGGTGATGCTCGTTACTGATAAAAGCAGAAGTGCCCTGAGTGGTTGTCTTCGATCCGTTGCTGATAGTCTCAATAGTTGTTAAGACTCGTGGCATATTCAGTTGTGAAGTCCTTAAAGGCTTCAACGGTTTCAGTAGAACCATTCTCGGCAATGCAAATCAATAAGGGTTGTCGGCGCCACTGTCCCTAGTTTTTGAGGCGTCACCACTCTTGATGAGAGTAGTACCATTACAGTTGCTAAATGCTCTAGCGAGCCGGTCTGCCCTAGTGCTAGTTGATGGTTTAGCAATCGTCTGCACTGATAACAGCATCCACTCCTTCAGCTGGCGTGAATACTTCATTGTTACAGAACTTGCATTAACAAGTAGTGAATAGGATTATGGAATTGTCATTGATGGAACACGTCCTATAGAACCCCGTCGGACATGTTGGTAGTAAATGTACCATATGTAGCGATGGAGCCATGACAATTTCGTTACTTGCTCGAGCACCCAACAACATGAGATACATCACTTCACGAACTCTATATCGACGCACGCAAGACTTATGGATTCAGAGCGGATAACCGTTCATATGCCGTCAAAACTACTCTCACTAATCTCCGACCATATCCACTAACATGTTATCAGGAAAATAATGGTATTGTGACGAAAGACGGCCATCATGATAAAGCCGTCAGACGATTTGCTGATGTGTTCGTCTCGTCTCGCATCGAGGGAACTCGAAGTGAGGGTAGAAGTTAATACCAGTACCTGTCAATAACAAAACCAATCGCACTCAGCCACGTAGCACATCCAAACAGACCGAAAGCTCACCTCGATCGAGTTCCTTCCTCCACGTCGTTCTTGCACATTAAAAAGCCCGTATACCACATAAGGGAAGGTATCAGGAAGTCGGACCACTTGGTGAAACGCCAGAAGTATCTTGAAGCGAAGTCGCTACCACCACAAACTCCGCCACGACCAGACCTACCGGGTAGGCAGATTCCACCACCACTGGAAGAAGATTTTCTGTTGCATCGGAGAAACGCCTTGCTGGATCTGTCCACCTGGCACCTGATGATGGTCATCGGGGCAATCGCAAGAATGGGCTGCTGCTCATCATCATGAGCCTACCTGGAAGCGTCCTCGCCAGAAGTTCTTCGACTCAGGGGGAACAGGATAACTGCCGAGTCGTCTGATATCACGCTTAGTGTTCGGGCGCATAGGGCCCACTGCACGGGCACTAGCACGCACTAGGTTCACCATTGATGCCTCTAACAGAAAGTTACCCTAATACAATCAATCAAGTTTCGCTACCAACACCGGTGACTTGCATGAAAGGTTAGCACTAAGTCCATACGCGAATCGAACCTCAGGACATACCACGAGTAGTGAATTCCAGGAGTGAGCAATAGGTACACAGTAAACGGTTTAGCACCACTCTAGGGAGGGTGTAAGGTACGACAACGGTCAGGAGAGTAGTTGAGATAGAGCTGTACGATAGTCCCGTACTAAATAGAATTTGAGTGCACGAAGGAAGAATCACAGCTCTCGCGAATATACATCACGTACCACATCGTCAAATCTTGAAATAGTCCGGCAATTTCAGACTCGCGCGCGCCATGCTGATCGATTTGCAAGGTACAAGATTGGACGATGTACAAGCTGACCATGAGAAAAACTGGTGTCTCTTAGCATGTCCGACATAACATAATATAGACCTCTATGGAAAGGGTTTGGGAAGTTATGGAGTAGCTTGCGATAGCTTCGAAAGACTCGTAGACGGCTGTCGATGAAGAGCACCGAAATACTCGTCGGGTATTTTATGTCTGGAGTGTCGTCAACTATAATTCTGTGATTACTTGGAAGATATCCGACGGGTATTTTTACCATCCATGGCCAAACAGACGAGGAACAAGGGTCTAGGAGGCGCCAAATCGAGAGCGCAAGGGAAGGCGTTCAATCCTGGCAATGCCAGTACCAATCCGGACAGGTAATATCCGAGGAAGGGGGAGGGTCTGCTGGGCCAACTGTGGGACTCAGGAAAACCGCAAGCAACTCGCCGGGGTTCATGCGCTCTAAGAACACCATCAAACGTCTTAATATGTATAGTCAGAAGCTGAAGAAGGCTGATTTGAACAAGGTGCGGTACTGGGAGGGATTATGCCATACCGTAACTGCTCCTACTTTCAGCGGAAAATCCAACCTACTGGTCCAGCCCGAATCGCACCTGATCGTCGGTGGTTCGGCAACACGCGGGTCCTAAGTCAGCAGAAGCTACAAAAGTTCCGAGAGGAGATTGGCCAGAGTGTCAACGATCCTTTCCAGGTATTAACATGCACCCTTGTTGCCTCGCCACGCGGTTTCCCTCACAGTGTCTGTTCTCTGACTTCTACTTTTATCTGTGTGTGTCTGTTGGTCTTTTTCGTTGATCACAAGCAGTCGTATGTCGCATTACTATAACATCATATATATCCACAGCCTGTGGTGCGATAGACTCTCTGTACTAGGTGGTATTGAAGTCTTCCAAGCTGCCGATGTCCTTATTGACAGAGGGCCAGAACGAGAGTGATCAACCCCGAGGGAAGGTGGCCAGGAAGAACCTTCTCGCTGTTGAACCGTAATGATAATCCTTCTATCACAATTCCGAATTGAGACCTCTCATAGTTTTGACAAGACCTTCGGGTCGACCAAAACTCGCAAGCGGCCGCGTTTGAGCACCGGTAGCATCGAAGAGATGGTCAATAAGGCTAGCCGTAGGATGATAGGTGACACTTGATGATGATGATGCTCTAGGTATGGCTGAGGACTATGATCCCGGCAAGGATAAGAGCTCTGAGGAGAATCGGGTGCTCAGGGACGAAGAGTAGTGTGGGGGGAGTGACGCCCGAATAGAGGTGGCCTTACTTGTAGGCATACTGTAGTGAATGAAGAAGTGTTCAAGAAGGGCACCTCTCGACGTATCTGGCAAGAACTGTATAAAGTGGTCGACTCGAGCGACGTGATTCTGGAGGTCATCGATGCTCGGGATCCTATGGGCACGAGGTTGGTTACCATAGTCGGGGCATCAGGCTTGTTACTATCGATTATTAGGTGTCAGAAACTCGAAAGGGAGATCAGGAGGACCCGACCGAATAAGCATATCGTATTGGTAATAGGGTTGTGAATGGGGAAGTAGTAGGACAGAGTGTTGACTGTCCAGATCAGAATGTGCATGGTTAACTACACGTGTCGGTGACAATATGAAAACTCGAAGGAAATTATTGTTAGTTTTTGTGCACTTCTACCCTAATCGTGTATAAAGCTCTTGAGCTCAGCTGAGGAGGGCGAAGATATATTCCTCGAACACTGGTTCAGATACTCAACAAGTGTGATCTTATTCCGACCTGGGCCACCAAGCGTTGGGTGCAAGTCTTGAGTAAGGAGTTCCCTACGCTCGCCTTCCATGCAAGTAAGTGAACTCCGATGCGGTTTGGGGGGAACCCGCGTTTGTAGGTGTGACGAATCCTTTCGGGAAGTCGGCTCTTTTCCAACTGTTACGACAGTTTGCTCAACTATTAAAGGAAAGGAAGTAGGAAATGCCGCGTTGATTGACCGTAGGGTGTACTGTCTTGTCTTCGCAGGCATGTGTCGATAGGCATGATCGGCTACCCCAACGTGGGCAAGAGCTCTGTCATCAACGCCTTGAAGAGGAAGAAGGTCTGTAAGGCCGCCCCAGTCCCAGGTAGGAGGGCACTAGGGCATCTCGATTAGCTCGGGGATGTGTTCCTTCCTAGGGGAGACGAAGGTGTGGCAATACGTCGCACTTACTAAGAGGATATACCTCATAGACTGTCCTGGTATTGTTCCTGCGACTAGCGATGATTTCAAACAGGTTAGTACTTGTTGTTGTTTTTGATGAGAAGACTTGGAAAAGGGCGTTGTCGTCAGGACTGTGCGAAGATCCTCAAGGGTGTGGTACGTCCGGAGAGGGTAGAGAATCCTAGCAACTACATTGACGAGGTAGGTTACAGCATTTCCTGGCCAATTTGAAATTTTACCCGAATTTTGAATAATTTACGCACTTCTTGTGGGGGAAAAATACCCAATTTTTTACCGACTGGTTTTGATGAACTGCGCAGAATTTGAAGTAGCTCGTCCCTTTTGAAGATGTGCCAACTTCAATCGACGACGTTGGTGTCGATGTTAGGTCGACGGTCAAATTCTCATCAGGTGCTCTCACGTGCTAAGCGGGAGGATCTTATTACCAAGTATAGCCTTCCCAACGATTTCCAGTGGACCGATGGGGACGACTTCCTTACTAAGGTATGGTTATTTTTCGGGAGTAGTAACGCATGAGGGAAAGACTCTCTGCTTTAGTTGGCGCAACAGATGGGGAAGCTCCGAAAAGGAGGGGAAGCTGACATCGGGACTACAGCGAGAATAGTTCTCTATGATTGGCAGAAGTAGTATAGTGACAGTTGATGTGGACTTGCACGGCTTGGTCGCAGGGGACGCATACCCTACTTCGAGTTGCCACCCAAGGACTCCGACGACGATAATGATGATGAGGAGGAGGAAGAGGAGGAGGAGGTGAATGTGACGGAAGGGGATGATGGGAAGCAGTTGATCAGCGTAGGAGGGTTCCACTAAGAGATCTGTAGTGATGAGGATTGCATTGGTAGATTCATCAAGATCTGTCGAGTATCGATGAAGCCCTTGGGGGTAGTGTGGAAGAGGACCACGCGGCCCTGGATGCTGACGAGGAGGAAGAAGAGGAGGAGGAAGGAGAGGCATCGGCTCCTTCAAAACGTAAGCTGAAGGGACGTGTCACTAAATAGGGGAGGGTCTTCGTAACTGACTCGCAGTGCGGACTGCATTGACCGACCAGAGTCGAAATGAATCGATCGCTGTAGCTGTCGTCGATAGGCACTAAGGCAGCCACAGCTGTTGAGGCGGCGACCGCAGCTGCTGCTGCTGAGGAGGTCGACTGGGATAGGCTACAGGAGGACTTTGATCAAGAGGAGTAGAGGTGCCCTGTATATTAATACGTATTATACTGTCCTGGGAACTCGAGGACTCTTGAGATCCCTTAACGTTGGATGTTGTTACTACTATACGCTTGTTTCTTGTCAACTCGTTGTATGTAGTTAGTACTGTTTATGGTAGCAACTTCTTAGGGTAGTTCTGTGTCTTGAGATGAGGTTGATTATAACACTCCTTATCCCGTCGATCCTCCTCAACGTAGTGGAGGCTAATGAGGTAACGGAGGGAAGGGGAGGCGCTTGGGCTGAGATGATCTGCCCTGATGAGCTCTCGATGCCTGCGGGAAGCTCTCTCGGTCGCGGATTATCATAGGCGTTATGCCCGATAGAATTGCCCTCAGTTAGGGCCCATGAAAATGTTTTCCCAAATGTCGGGGTCTCCGACATTTTTTCATGTGGAAAATATCACCGTCGTGTAGGGTCGAGGAGTTTTCTATGAAAGTATGTGTGATTCGAGCATCAGAGCTGCTGCACTGGATGCTCTTGTTGGACCTGAGGCCTGGTCTCTTTAGGATGGCAGCATAGATCCATCGGTACTGGGTGGTGATGTTCGGGAGTTTGAGAAGTCCTATCTGCATCGTCTAGCGCATATCTACCATAAAGCTGCTACTAGTGTGGTAGTGGGGAAAAGGGAGCATATAGACGGTTAATCGATATCAACCCTACCTATGACATTTTGGTCGACATTGTGTTGATGATGAACGAACCGGTTCATCGTAGAAGTTTTGTTACACCTATTGTGAATCGTCGGGGATTACACTGTGTAGGGGTTCCGTCAGTGAAAGCAGTTGAGCATTGGACTCTATAGCAAGGCTTAGTCGTCTTGCTGTAGCTATTATGTCTTGGTAGATACCGAATACATCGACTGCAACATCAGCGTCGTTATCGTTCGCCTCCTTTCCAGACTTGCCGGAGGAACCACAGCATCACGTAAGGCGTTCATTATGGTGGCAACGCTTAGTGGATATTCGCATCGAACGTGGGGGGCTTGAGAGCTCTATTCATCTCAGATGAAATATCTTTACACTCTACTTCTCGTTTGCATGCTTTTCATAGCAGCAATGATGTGTGTACGAATCCATCGAGCGGAAGCTAACCGTCGTAGTAGACGTAGTAGTAGTGAGATGTCGAAGTCCCTAATGCAGTATCCTAGTACTACTACGGATGCTGGTGATGGTGATACAGGCAACGGTCGATCGTCGGCTTATTATCGTGTACTATGACTTGAACTGAATCCTTCTTGGTATGTCTACTATAACCATTGTCATCACGAATATTATTTTTCACTCGGTTTTGTGCGCCCCCGTCTCTACGTTGTGTTGAATACTCATGGACGGGCCTTGAGACCGCACCCCTTTATTGTGGCAGTCGCGTCTTGTGACATGTATACTCATCATCACACATCCACTGAAGAACGGGGAGGAGAAAAGTCGGACATTTTGATGGGGAAAAACGACCCAAGGTCTGCTCAGGTGAAGCCACTTGTTCTGCCATTCTTGATAATCAAAATATCCTCCAGGACCATATGTTGGTGTCTACTCCTCCCCAGTCTAAGAAGAGACCTTTGGCCGTCACAGAAGGAGGTCTGACCATCGACTTCAACAACACTATCGCGTCGACACCATCGACTGCTGCTACTACGAGGATTGGAGGGGATTCGACTCTCCGTGGGAATCCACCCTCAGTGAGGGTGAGGTCACTATACTCCTGTCCAATACAGGGAATCATACAGGAGCCTATAATGTTCCTGGGAAGAACTCATTTTGAATTTTCCGCACGGCCAGGAACACATTCTTCAATCAGTTTTCCATATAAATGTAATCGCCACATTAGGAAAACTTTCCCCATTGTTAGCACACCTAGATGGGTACCTGGTCCAGTGTGCTCTGTAGAAGGGAAATGTAGCGGAGTTACGGTGGAGAGGCCGCCTGGGAGATGAGGGTTCATAACCTATGAACATGAGCTTATGAATCATAAGTTCACCATTGAGGTTTCACCTGTTTTACGTGAACTGGTGTAAAACTCCGTGAAAAACGCGATACTCGCACTACTCAGTAGCCGTGGAATATTTTTTTTATATCACGGGTGAAACTTTATTGTATCTAAGCCCTGTTTAAGACTCAGCCGGAAAACCCATTTGGTTAACGTAGAATCGTAGATATTCGAATTTGCCTGGGTAGAAAAATATAATGCTTGGACCGATCATCTTGGCTCAGTTATTTCGCGAAGACTCCAGCGCCAGTAGCATCGTCCCGCAGACCCCAGTGTACAATGCTCAGCGGCTTCCATCCCTGAGGGAAGCTACTCTCGTGTCACCACTACCAAAACTGCGGGCATCGGCTACAACTCCGACAGGGCATCATGCAGTGTATATAGGGGGTTCTCGATTGCCTCAGCAAGGGGAAGAGGAGGAGGAAGCTCCGGTGACTCCTCAGAGGAAGGTGAGGAGGAATTTCTAATGGATAGAGTCTTCATGTTGGGATGATATTTTACACATCTTCAGCCTGGTTCGAGCAGACGTTCGAGAAGTCCCTCGCCTCCCAAAATCGATAAGTATCGCAGTCGTTGCCGTCCTATGCCCTGTGATGGCGTCCCGGCACGAAGACTGGCTACTGAGTTTGAGCTCATGCTGGATCATGCAGAGGAGGAGGAGGAGGCATCACCGGCAACTGCAGTGACGCCCAACTTCCCAGTCCTCATGGAGTTACCTCGACTGACATTCTTCCATTCTGATGATGAAGACGAGGACTTCAACAGCCAGGGAGTGAGGACTTGAGGACTGTGCTTCACGGTACTGAGTATTTTAGAGTCGCCTCCCGAGGAGTCTGTCACGGATGGATGGAGGATCGTCAGTGAATGCTGCTGCTGGTCAACCATCCACCGGGCGTTCTACTATGGTGCCTGAGGAGTTTGAGGTGTGGTCAGCCATGTAGGGTCTTTATATAGTGTGGTTGCTGTGTAGGTAGGGGACAGTGGCACACCGTCGTCGAGTGGTACAAGCAGCTGTATGTCTTTGAGAGAATCATTGATCGCCGACTTAGAGGGGTTATTCCTCGAGATGGATCAATATCAGTACAGTTTAGCACGCCTTTTCGAACAGGTGCTCTTTGATCATCTCAGGATGCCCTTGAGAGTCGCATCTCGGAATCTCCGTAGTCGATCGGCACAGTATGCGGAGGTAGAAGACATGGATTCAATACTACAGGAAGTTGTGCAGGTGGGAGCAAACGGGCGGCGCTTATGAATACAGCTAGCTGGTGGATGGATTCGTATTACTCAATTTTCTTAGGCACATCCGCAGCAGTTCTATATCGAGGGTGATATCATTCACTTCATGCAGCAAGGCTTGACGAATAGACTCGTATGAATTCTTCTCGTATTTCCATTCAAGAATCAGCGATGAAAAATTTTCATGGACATGTGTACAATAAAAAGTCTTATCCGTCGCTTCCCAGCTTGACGGAATGTCGCTGGAGTCCATTTATTTCCCTAAAAGCTCTTGAAATGTGTTGTGTTGAAGATAGTGGTAACAATTGCTTGGGAAGGACATAGAACTACTGGGACTACGACTGTATGCATGGGAGGTGATGAATGTCGTCTTAATGTCGTACATACAAAGTCTTGATATCAATTTTATAGGAGAGCTTTGTTCAAGGCAGGATCCACTCACTCCATTGAGTTAATCAACAACAATGGCACCGAAAAAGAAGTCTGTGATCAAAGCTGAGGTGGTCGAGCCAGAGGTGGTTGAGAATAATGAGCAGCTAGAGACAGTTGAGCCTGTCATAGACCCGAGGTGAGCCGTGAGATGCAGGCACGCATAAAGGAGGGAAGACTGGGAATTCAGGTGCCTCGATACGGGTCACATGTTGTACTTGCTCGATGATGACATTCGAACGATATGGGATGCACGTGAGGTCGATCGACTCAGTGTGCTGGCTGGGAAGATCACCATGGATGCGGCTGATGACCATCGGAAGGACATGGAGTTACAACTGTGGGGGTTTGGTAGCTTCTATGGTGCCAGTGGTGAGCGCTGGATCAGTTATCTTAACCTCATTGAGCACTGCAGTGATCAGCTCAAAGATGGGTTATGCTTGACGCCTAGGCAAACAGCAGTTGCCCATATGATACTCAAAATGCTCGTTGACGGTGTAGGTCGGTGTGAGAAAATACGCATATGGTCAGCTCCAAGCGTAGGTGACATTTGTGGAAATTTTGGGGAAAATTGAGGAAATTCTCATTGGTTTCTGTACATTTACACCCGAACTCGTATATAAATTTCTGAAATTAGTGATGAGGAAATCCCTGGACTCAGCTGAGGAAAGCAAACAGATATTCCAACACTGGTGTACGTGGGTGATAAGTTGCTTTAGGGAATAGGAGGTCTCTTAGATTCGCAGTGAGGTCGAAGTGGACGGTTCGGGTAGAGTCGTCCAGAGTGTCGAGAAGACAACGACGGTGGAGGAGTTTAAAAAGCTCGCCCTCTTGTATACGATTGAGTAAAGGCCTCAGAGCAACACGGGACAGGTTGCTCTCATCAGGACGCCAGTCTTTTCTATTCCGGAAATGCGTCTCCTGTCGGATTACCTCAGCGATACGTTGTTCGCTCACTACAACCTCTACATGTACTGTTTGATATGGCCCCGAGAAGTGGAGCGAATAGACGTACTACACCGAACAAGAAAGTTCTTCGTCAATTTGTGAGGCCAAGATGTCGTTACCATTGCTGCAACCCGACGTGGTTCCACCACTGGAAGAAGCTGCGGAGGTCACCAGTAAGATGGGCAGGTCTATCATGAGGAATGCCACGCATGAGCAGATTCTCCCACGTTGGAGCCCAAGGAGATTCCACTGAAAAGCATGGAGGACGTTGCTGGCTCGGAAAAGGATATAAGCCCGGAGGAGAATACAGAGAACACGCCGCTCAATGACTCGTCACCCCAAGCGGTAATGAAGATCTTCCTCAGCTTTACTCGTGAATTCAGGTTGAGGACCGCCTCTGGGATGTTGGGGTACAAGAGATCATGAGCCAGGGACTGGATGAAGGTTGGCCTTGCTCCCCATGAGCTTGGACATCGAGTGCAGTTACGGCCCGCGCGGTCCACGAGAAATTATCCGAACTGGCGGCTATCATGCAGAAGAGGCTCGATGATCGAGAAAAGTACGGCTTTTCAAACCATAAATCGGACAAATGGTCATTTGCTAGGGAAGTGGAGAAAGGTATGCAACACGAAGCCGAGAGATGATGATGCATGGGCTTGTGATATTCGGTGGTCCAGCGCATGTTTGTTGTGTTCTCATACTTTTTTGACATGTGTTGATGAGGGGAAATCGCCGAGATCCCAGCCAGTGCTCTCAGCAATGCTCACAACAATAAAAGGAGCTTGGCGCTCAGAAAAAAGTGATTTCGGCGTGACTGGCCCGACTGAATGGTATACTCCAATCGGAAAGCTAATATGGACGTGCTCTCACACATAGACCATTCGGTGATTCCAGAACTGGGTTCCTGGCAAGGCGCTTCTTGCGTCAACACACTTTACGAAAATGACCAGGCAATGCTTGGAACTTCCAAGTTGGAAGTGTTTCTGTGGTTGTGTAACTTGTTGTTGGAGAAAATAGTTCTGTGAACGATAGACAAGGAATTCCACTTCCACCGCCAGCAGTAGATAATTTCGTGATCCAATTACTCTTCAGAAACCTTTGGTCTCGTGACGCGTAAGCTTTAAGCCCTAGGTAGTGGATTCTACCCCTATCGAAATTACGGGGATGACTACAACGCGACTCTTGCAAAGAATTGAGGCACCGCGAGGTTCTGAATCATGCGATGTATTATACGCATGTATACAATCGTGCACTTATACATCATGTATAGGTGGACAGAATGCTCATTGACTGTACGTTACTCGGCCCGACAGCGTAGTCATTTAAACCACGATCCAAATTGATATACTGCTTTCTGCAGGAAGTGTGATAACCACCGCTGCAAGCATTCGAACATCGGATCAGCGAGATCCGCTTGTCCGAGATTATCTGTTGTTGCTTCTCTGATGTTCACGAGGCAACAGCGTGGAGTATGAGCCTGATTCAATTGGAACTCAAGTTATCTTGCTACGAGAAATGTACATTCGACTGTGACCGGTTTGGTCTAGCTCTCAATTGGAAAGAATATAAACGTGAGGTAATGGATCTGAATCTGACTTCCAGGCCGGAGCGGTGCAATAGCATCTCTGGGAACTGGTGTCCCATCGACGAATGTACCTAAAGCAGGGTAATTCACATTCCACTTGTTCACCATATTCACCTCCACCGTAGTTCCTCAATATCCATCCTCCGTTGGTATTTCTATCGATAGCGCAATGGACCTGCAGAGACGTAGCAGCTTGGTGAAGGAATTGGGGGATGTACTGCGTGGACGATAGGCTCTCCTGTGGGGCCTCGCTGGTCGCTGAAATCCATCAATGACGAGATGTCAAAGTGGCACTCTTCGCTATCAGATCCCACGAGGAAGGGTATCTGCAAACCATACTCGACAATTGAGTTATCCGAAACACGCCGCGAAAGGATTGCATTGCCACAGCCCCGTAAAGAGCTGTGATGCTCCTGACATTTCGAGATACAAATGTAGCGGTCTGTGTGGCCAACAACTCACTACAGCCTGTTGATGATACGGACGACTGCCCTAGGCTAGACTCTTTGAATACGAGTACGAGATTCGAATCACAGGGAGGAGAGTTTATGTCATACATGAAAGAATACCATCTTACTTTAGAGGATGGTACAGAGAGCCTGGCCCCCTCAATAGCCAACTTGGCCACTGAGTGGTCCTCAGGCGGCTGAACACCATTGGGAATAGTCGCCTAAAGATGGACAGCAATTATGAACATAACCTGGCCTAACGTTCTCCTACTTCACTCTTCTCTCGGAGACCCGCAGGCCTGGTGGGCTCTACATAGACGTCCATTCTGATGAGTTTCTCCACTTCTGACGGGTCCGCGATGTCACCCAAAACCCCCAGTATCCCTTGGAACTAACTCCACATGCAGATGACCCACGATGGTCGCGTTGAGCAGCCTACCGCGGCAGCCTGTCGTCGGTGGAAGGCCTCAACGTCCAAGACTGCTTTAGTGGGCTTGCCGGTCTTAGGGTCATAGAGGAACTCGATGAGAGGATTCTCCGAAGGGTCCCAGCCCATGAGCCGCTGTATCATCCTGATGGATGGACCGGTCGGAGGTATAAGGGACCATAGAGGGGCCCTACCTGTCTGCTGTACGTATCTTATCCTCAATCGGGACATCGCTGAAGCTACGATGCCACGAGCGGGAAAGGAAGTCCGGTAAGGTCTCAGTCTGATGCGTGCTGCCGATGGAGGCCGATCTACGTCGAGACCCTGGACCGCCAGCAGCAGCAGCAGCGGAAGAGGAAGAACTCGAGGAGGAAGACATTGACACAACGAGGGTGCGATGCACGCCAACCTCCTGCGGCTGAAGGAATGGGCGGAGGTAAGATGATTTGGGTCGACCAACAACGCTGGATGAGCATGCAGTTGATATTCTGGAGAGAGTAGAGCAAGCTACGTGCTTATGCATGGTACTATCGAGTCAGGAAATACCGCGAAAGAGACGACCACGCCACATCTGCTTACGAGGGGTACCTCCCCTACTGGGAGCTTCCAGCGAAAATCAAAGTTATGAAATATCCCCAACGATTATACAGAATACCCGATCCCTGAATGAGAACGACAAAAATACACGACGACTTTGATGACCATAAAGTAAACGCATGCATCCAAATGCCTTCACGATGTCCGGAGATGTCTAAACAACATTGAGGCGAGCACCAGAGTGACTTCTGATACGGTACTTGGTTTGGTACCAGCAGCAAGCACCACACTGATAACTCAACATTAACTATGACTCGATGATAACGTCGTATAAATGATATCCTTAACTCTGGCGGGTTAATGGAAATGGTGACTGCCTTCTAGTGAGATTAAACCATCGAGAAGATGGACAAATGATGATATCGCTCAGGACCTACTATCGACCATAACACGATCAAGGGTGTCACTTGCCACATACCACACGCTGCTCTAATCAGGCATGTGGTTGATGAGTGTTGATACTGTACGGTGGTGTAATGTACTGATGCCTCCAATAGCAGAGTCAGATCTTCGGCGACACGATCTGAGAATATGAGCTATCACGACCGCACATGTGCTTGACTTGGGACTTCGAAAGGCTCACCAATTTATCTTCAATTTCTCCCATGAACACAGCTTCGCCCTGTGTGGGAAGAACGCAGGCAACTTCCTGCGCGAACTTCGGCTTCTGTCCAAGGGCGCACGAATACCTGCAAACCAGTATTGACTCTCGAGACGAGTGCTCTCTTTGACGGCCCACTCAATATTCCCTATGAGGAGCGAGACCCTCCCGCTCTTATGGATACGCAAGGTGCCGATCTTCCCGTCGGGTACGTCGGAGAAGCTTGATACTTCCTGTTCGGGAGCTGGTGGCAACGAACCTAACAAACTGGAGCTTACAAACGTCGGACAAACCATAATTGGCAAAGAAGGCTTCAACGCTGGAAGTTGGATAATACAATTGAAATGGTCTAATTTGTTATGACGACAGCCTTACACACAACAGGTCCCAGGTTCGGGCCTTGACCCCTGCAAATTTTTTTATCGGCTCACCTTTCGCACGAGGTTTGCTCTCTTCCTCCTCCTTTTCTGCTACGACTCGAGGGAACGTATTAGGGAGTTGTATCTGCTCATGAAGTTCTACTCAATTGCACCCATAAAAATCGCGAGTCGTGACAAGGCTATACGGAATAAGCTCCTACGAGGAAGAATTTATCCTGTTTCAAAGCTGGCCTCTCTTCCCCCTCAACATTGGGGCTACTCTCCAGGAAGAGCTGGGCAGCCCCGCTAGACCTGAGCCCTGCAAATGCTCAAACCCACTGCAAACCTTCTCACTCGTGTTGAACTGTGCCTCCGGTCATCTCCACTAATACGGGCCTCTTCCCTTTCTCCCTCATTTCCTCAACACGGGAGCCCTCTTTATATCCACTTGCTTGAAGAAAATCGTGGTGAATACGACGAGTTGCAAAATAAGGCACCGATGAAGGCGGGTACCTTATCGGAGTTGGCTATAGAAAGCCGGAGCAGAAAGCTCACTCCTGTATGCCACTATCGATAGCACCGAATGCAACATCGTCCAAGGCTTTCTCTACGAGCCGCTGCCCTCTCTTCCGATCCTCGACCCTCTGAGACACTATAGTAATGCCACAGTAAGGGGCGGCGACATACAGGAAGATCGTCTACTGCGTTGAGATCTCCACCAAAGAGACTATGAACCGGGCGTGAACTAGAGCCAGAGCTTGTACTTGTCGATACGGTGGCTGCACCTAGGGCACACCAGGAAGTCCCAACGTTGCATATTCGTGAATCGCACATGCTAGGAGCTCAAGTTGCTTACGCGAGCTTCTCTCAATTTTCTCTTTCCTCCTCTTCTTCTCCTCAGCCGACACCTTCATCGCGTTCATCAGGATCACTTTAACGCTGCTCGGCATCGGTTCATCCTCACTCGATACGTGCATCTCTTTAGCAATCTTCCCTATGGTCTTCGCCAAGGCCGGATCCCCACTCCCAACAGTCCGCGCATCGGGCCTCTTCGGAGCGAATTTTGTAGTAGGAAACGCCAAGGACTTGGGCCGAAACGGTGACCTGACATGACAGCCCTCCGAAAGCAAGGACACCCTGATAGCGTTGCTACTCATTGGAGCCGAATACCGCCCGACCAGCGTCATTCTTGAGGGAAGCTAATCGCTCCACCGGTAATATCGGCCGAACTTTAACCTGAACATGAGACACTCCTGCTGCCCGACGACGACGCGGAGAGTGATGGAGGTTTACAGGTCTATGTCGGGGTCGTTGGTCTTCCACAGGATGTTCCTTCTTCACCACAGTCTCGATGTCGGCCGGGGTGGCTCCAGATTCGCCGAGCTTCCTCAACCTCCTCCTCCTTCCCTGCTTCATAGGAGATGAAGATGTAGAGGACATGGAGAACTATGCTGACCTGCGGCTGTGTACTTCCCATCATACAGATACCTGGAGTCCTTAACTCAACAAGCTGCTATGAGCTCTCAACACGAGGCATGTGGCTGTGACGAGTAATTGATGAAGTGATTCCCTCTGGGAATGATGATGTCCGACGCTACGTTTAGTGGGGCTCAGCTACCTACTCTCCTACAGAGGGCCGACATCAGTTGGAGATCCTGAACGGACACCAAGAGTCCAACCAAAAGTGGTGTTTGCCTTCCACGCGGACGACCCGGGTTCAAATCCCAGTATCGACCAAATTACTGTACATACCACTTTCGATGATCATATTCTCAACTATGAATACTTCCACAACCACAACTACTCAACCCATACCCCCAGTCCTACCTTAATACGACGGTTCTTTTCTGCTAGTAATTGCCTCTTTTCGTACTCCATCTTCTCTGCACTGTTATAAAGCCTGATGACTCGCAACATCCAAGTCGCGCTTTTTCCCATAAGAATACACCCACCTTTCGGCCTGCTCTTTCCTCGCCTCCTCCTTCCTCAGAGCTCTCACCAGCTTCCGTGTTTCCTCTCGATCCTCCCGCTGCTCTGCCTTGAACACCTCATCAGCCGTTATCTGCACAGCGATAGACCCAACCACGAACAGCGCATCTCTCCCACCCGTTCTTTCTCGCAGTTCTCTCGTTGAATCGACTTCTCTCGCTGAGCATCATAACTCTGTGTTATCAACTCCAGCTCAGCCTCCCGAGCTCGCCTCTTCCTCTCCCGTTTGAACTGTACAAACTCCAGATTTTCCTGACACTTCCCTTATGAGGACGACAAGTCGCCGACAGTTACCTTCAGCTCACGCTGGTGAGTTGTTCTCCTAAATGCCTCGATGCCCTCACGCAGACTCGTCTCCTGCTCCCGTCTCCATTGCGTTATGTCCTTCTGTGCTTCCTTCTCCATCTTCCTCTCAGCCGACTTAGAACACACCAATAGTGGTAGCAGTGTGAGATGATATGCACACGGTCAACTACATATGTCGGTGACAATAAGGAAAATTTGAGGAAATTCCGGGAAATTCTTGTTGATTTCTGAACACTCCTACCTAGATTCGTTCATAACTATGCACTGATCAGTAGAGCTCCCAACAGCGGCACTCACCTTCTCCTCCCTCCGCATGTTCCACAGTATCCGACTCTCCAATGCCTTCAACTCCCGTATTTCTCGTCCTAACAAGACCTCCCTACTATGCAGCCAGAGCAGCGTTCCTGTAGCTGTAGGGACGACTCAACCTTACGTGCTTCGTCCAGGGCCTGCCTCCAACTATCCTTCTCTTTATACCAGATCTGGTCTCTCACTGAGAGCTTCGCAGAGATGTCTGAGCCGCGTCCATCGAGATGCATATAAGTGTAGAACTTACTACTCCTAGCCGATAGAGGTTGGTCTAGCCTAGGGGCCGAACGACACTGAATCGGTATCGCTTTACCTACCCGCACGCGTTGGTCAATGGTTCTATCACAGTCCTCCTCCTCCTTCTCCTCCTTACCTAGAGCCTTATTCCTCGCAACTCCACCACCAGCAGCACTCCTGGCAGGTGACCGCGAGCGTTCTTCTCGCCCCCTCGATCGATCCCCTACAAGTGACCATCTAGAATGTGTCGATGTTGTGGTAAGTCACCCCTGTCCGGAATCTGCTCCTCTACTACTTGATCGGGAGACGCTCCCGTTGAATCTATCCATCAGCAACGACAATGCCTAGGATACTAACACTTATCAATACTACCCGGCTTTGTCTGCTGTAAAGTCCCTAGCTGCTCCTGTATACGTGAGGGGGAGGACACTAATCCTTGCGATAACAAAGGCCTGAAGAGTCCTCCTTAGCCCCATCACCGTTTCCAACCCTCAGCCCTACTACCCCCTACTAGACACATTGCCTTTCTTCTTCTTCTTCCCTGCACTCGTTGGCGTAGCTGTCGGAGATCGTCTCGAGTGAGGTAAGAATTCTGCAAGCAGCAGTGCGGTGCTCCTCCGACCTCTTGTCATCTGGGAGCTGTCACAGTCACCACGAGCCTTACTGCTTGGAACATATTTAGGGATGGCGCGCGGACCAATGCCAGGGGAGGTCTCCTTCTCTCGCTGGACTGTGTTAGGGGACAGGGCTGCACAAATAAAATCAAATAATTCCCAATCCTGTATTCGCGATGTGCTATTGCCATATGGCATGTAAAACGATCATCATCATCACCGTGCATAATTACTAATATTCCATATCTCACCTTCTCCACGCTGCACCTTTCCTTTCTTCTTACTCGATTCACGCGACAATAGCGCCTGAAGAGTCTTCCTTTCATCAAAGACCCCTCAACAACCTACCCCTCCTTGACCGCCTTTGGAGAGGCGATAGTCGACCACATGACTCAGCCAGCGGCCCAAGGCTTTGCTCGCCGCCAAGTTGCTGAACATCATCTGCATATTCGAAGGGGTTGCAGACCGGCGGGTTGAAGTCGAGTACCTCCTTCTGGAAGGCTTCCGTTTCCACTAGTCCCCGCAGTAGCTCTATCGTCTTATCAGGGATTCTATCCCTATCGAAGAATACTAATCTTTGTAGTAAGGTTATGGCACTAGACGAGGGAAAGATGTGCTCTCGGGCCGCCCTCCAATACTCTTGAGGAGCTGAGACACACCGAAGTGGCAATGGAAGAAGAGTCTAGGACAATCCCATACAGCCAGAGGAATACCGTACTTTCCGAGTCCCCAACGATACCATCAGTCGAGCTCCTCCTCCTCAGCTTCACACCCAGAGCCCAGCAAAGGCCACGGGCCACTGATAACACTCCTTCTGGCGGAGACGGCAGGTTTCGCAGTTCTATAAAGTCTCCTGAGGCGCGGACCTCCCTCCCTCTTCGCACAACACTTCTTACTTTTTGTTAGTTTACTTAGCGACGCCATCGCTTCTTCAGCGGAAAAGTACTTCGGTTTCGATTCGCCTCCACGACTCACCTGATAACAGACAACACTAGGGCTTATCGTATATGGCCATGCGGAACAGATGATAACAATGGACTTCATGCTTCTCACCTCGCCCGACTTCGCATCATTGCCATTCCCTCGCTCCTCGCGCTGAGGCTGCTTAGTCCTGAATCGACCTCAGCCACAGATGAAGTGACGGTAGCCGAGTGCCTACCTGCCGTCCGCTGCACTCAATGCCTCTGTGAACTGTGATGACTCGGGAGGCTGCGAGGACGGGTCCATTATACTCGAGTAACTGTCGCTGGTCTACGTCATCATACAGTGCAGCAGAGTAAGCAGAAATGGTAGCAGCCTTAGTGCAATATAAATCAACTCCACCATAGATCATAATATCACGTTTACGACATCATCATGTTTACCAAGGCAGTATGAATAGGAGCAAGCGCTCAGCCTGTCACGGCTATATCCTCCACCTAATACAAACACCAATAGAGTGACGTTAGGCTCAGGCGTGGGGAATCCCACCCGTAGGTTGAGAGCCCTCCTAGCTAGGTCCACAAAGGTAGACATGTCCACCTTCAATGGTATCTCCAGGCCGCCCTCAGTAGCCTTACCCCCCTGACCAACTGTGCCATCAATCAGCTCCTCTTGCCTCGCTGAACAGGCCAGAGCCTTCAAAGCTGATCGACACTGAAAGGCATACGACAAGACAGGGTATACCCAGTCGATCAGAAGAAGGATGAAGTACTCACCTGCTCCCTAGTGATAGTCCCCTGCTTCAGTAAATCAGCCATACGGAAAACCGACTCGATCTCCTTCATATCGAACAGACCCCCCGCCTCAGCTCCCTCTTTACTGCGACGTTCCAGCTGTTGTGCCATGAAGGCCATCACTGCCTCCCTGCCTCCCTCGGGCTTGTGGAAGGCGACTGATGCCAGGAGATCGTTGAGGAGCTCTGGGATGCGATGCCGAGCCATATACCTGCGCCCAGTGAACGCGGAGCGAAAGCCAACAATATTCAAACGCAAAGGACGTACTCACGACACTCGATGTACTCGGGATTCTTCTCCAGCTCTGCCTTGGGGAGCCACATCTCTGCAGACATAGGACTGAAGTCTGTCCAAGGAACAGAGCCGCCCGTGAATAACAACACTACACAACAGTCGCTTATACATAGCTCGATTAAGGTAGCATACAAAATAGAACACTAAATGGTGCCAACTTGATATATTCTAGTCAATGATTCAACTTTCGTGGTAACCATTAGTACATCTGCACGCGGGACTGTATAAAATCCTTACGCATAGCGCTCAGCATCCGGTTAATAGCCGATAACCGTTTCTGGTGAAAACCAATCAGAGACTCACCAAACGATATACTCATCCGCGACCTACTTGAAGTTGATCCTGTTGCCGCGGCGACTTCCCTCCCCGGGTCTCGTCCGAAGACCCACTACTCCCACCAGCCGTCTGCTTAGAGCTCGCCCGACTCAGCCGCTGTACTGATGGATCCTCTCGCACTTGACGAAGCACTGTTATGGCGGAGTCAAAGTCGCCTATGCTACGTAGGCTAGAGGCATGCTGAGCCACCCGCCCTTCATCGCAGAGTATCTATCGGGTGGAAGGCAGTCGTCGAGTGCCGAAACCATGAGGAGGCCCAACACTACTTTAGCATGATATCGTATGATCCTCTCGAAAGCGTTCTCCCGCTGACTTCTGATCCACGGAGCAAAGTTCGGCGACTCCACTACGAATTTCCGATACAACTCCTCTAGCTTCACCGGCCTGAGGCCCGCCAGGGGTTCTGGGCAGTCCGGGGCCAACGTAAGGGATGCTAGCAATGCCGAAAGATCCTGAAAAGCTAACAATCAGATGAGAGGATACAGCGTGGACTTACAAAAGGAGGCAACAGTGGGGTGGGTGAGAGAGGTGACGACTTTATGCTACGCTTCGCCATTTCCACAGACAGGTACCTTCAACGTCAGTTGAATATTCAGCACTATATAAATATACCCTTACGGTTGGAGGAACGGCGCCAGGAAGGAGCAAGTAAGACTTTGGAAATGTCGATTGAGAATGGCGTCATTTATAGCAAACGCCGCCGCACGTCGATCCTGTCCATCCTTGGCATCAACATCCTGTAGTTGCTTCAGGACAGACACGTTGGGCGGCAGATCCTGACCATCACAGTCCCCAACTCTACCCCATCATACTACGGCTCACCAGCTTCCATCTACCAACGTCCTTTCGATACTCATCCGTCTGACGGCCGCCGCCGCCTTCACCTCCTCCTCCAGAAGGCACATCGAGTACACCCATCACGCTTGCCGCCCCCGTCACCTCCATCAACTTACTCCCCAATGTACGTGTATTACTACTAGAGCTGCATAAAAGGGGCGATACGGCAACCTGCAATGGGCATCTCATAGGCATACATCTCATATGACGACCTACATAGGAACCCCCTTGCTGCTGTATAACGACTTTATCCGAGAGCTGTGGCGCGTCAGTCTTCTGGTCGCCCTTATCATCACTATCTATAACTACGACCACCTGAAGGTATCAATACTGGAGCCTCCTGCGTGCGCAAGTCGATGATACTCACTGGAAAGTTCTGTGAGAGTTGAGCGAAAGCCATAGGAGAGGTTATGCCCAGAATGCACGGAGGCAACGCCCCAATGGGTGCAGTCTTATAGTATCTACATCAACACTATAGGACCATTCCACAGTCAAATTGACAGAACCGCCGCCCCCCCCACTTCCGAAGACTACATTACTCGTAATCAGGGTCATAGATGGTGAAGTAAGGTCTATAGTCACCCCTATATTGGACGGGCTGGATGAGTGATAGGATGGCAAAGACGGCGTTGCTGACGGACGAGGGTAGTTGTCGTGGAGTGTACACCAACATGGGAACCTGAGCATGCTGCCAGAGTACCGCCTGCAGGGATCGAACCCGGGACCTACTCCTGTTATCGCCATCTCCCACAGATGCCACAGCGAGCTCATAAGCGGCCATAAGCTACCCGATTTCGAGACCTAGCAAAGCCATGCCGCTACATAGTACACGACAAGACGCACCTCGGAGTACAAGAACCAAGGAACTTGGTGGTGCTGCAGAGACGAACTCAGCGAGAACGCCCGCGAACCGACAGGCTTACTACCTACATGCACATATGTCAGTCCACACACCACGAACTGGGATGCTACCAGAAAGCCCCTTGACCGCTGAGATGAGTCCTCGCTTCCTCATCGGCCCCTCATTCTGCCCTGAGTCAGTACGCAAATACCTGTGGAAAAGGGCTTAGCCTCCAATATGAGATACCTAGTTTTACGCCAGGGTTTTCTCTAGACTTATATCTCCGTCTCCACACACACTTTCCCGAAGCCTTTCCCTGCTACCAACCACAGGTGCTTGAGGAGAGCTCACAATCACCGAGGACCCCCGTGGGGAGCTGCTGGGGCTTGAACCGACGACCTTCCGAGGGAACCATGACACCGGCCCTCCGATGGGGATGACAAACGATAGTCGCGTTGATAGGATCGGTAGCGTTACCGTCTGAGAGGATCACACCCCACTCTAATGCCAACAACCACCACAATGGATGCGACTTGCCTTAGCCGGCTTAGGCTTGGGCCACCTACAGGTATCCAACCATACTTGCTGTAGCACCTGCGGGCATGTACCACATCGCTCCGCTGCTGTATAGGCCTCTACCATTGGGCCCGATACAACTGTAGACCACAGCTCTGTGAACCTAGGCGGTAACCTTATCTCTATTTCTTACGAATAGAGCGGCTATTGGGAATTCCGTCCACCCTACAGGAACGAGGGAAACGATCGTCAACACGTTTGATCTAGAGAAGTACCCAAAGCTAGAGTGAGCTTTCGATCATCCAAGTTATGCAGAACCCCCCTGGAAGATCGCAAGCCGATCAGAGTCTCCCCGATCAGAGTACTACGGATGCCTCGATACAACTGCAATGGTCTTCTGATAGAAACCTCTGGGATTATCTTCATCCCGATGCTGCCGAAAAAGGCATGTCGCGAACAAATACCTGCAGTGGGGAGGAGAGTGCAAACAGGCGATCCACCAAGAAGGTACCTGGAGCGATCAGAAGTGGCATTGGCATCGTAGAAGTCATCGGACACTACTCGGTCTTGACAACGGAATCGAACACTATAGAGACCTGGGATGAGAACTATGCCTGCCAACCTCAACGACAACGCCCAATGGAGCGCTTCCCCGAAGCGAGTAGTAGTGCGCAGAATCGTACATGCTTTCCGATCTCTCAATAGCGTTTCTAACGCGTGTCTCAAGAGCACTGTGGAGATAATCAAAGATCCCAGATGTCAATTCCTCATTCACTCTGAGCATGCAGACCCTCTTATTACATGAAATATCATCAGTGCCAGCCCTCGTCAAGTTAGAGTCCGGAAAGGCCAAGAAGCTCAGCGTCTTAGCATCCCTAGACGACAACGCCTCTGCGGGGTACCTAAGATCCAACCACTCCAAAAGCACCAAAGCGAGCCGTCACTAAGGCGACACGTCTGCAAGATTTGTTAAGACGGGGATATACGCAACCCTCCAGAGTTCTACATGCATTCCATAGCCTGGCCGACTTCAAGATCAAATGCGAACGCCGCTGTGCACACCAGCCAGTTATTGCGGGATGCCTCGCCGATCGACTGCGAACCATGACTCGATGAGTCCTCCCCCACACCCTGAGCGGAAGGTCGAGGGAAATGGCAAACCCTCCTACCGCACCTTTCCGTCCTCCGCAGTTACTGATGTATCCATTCTGATACGAGGAGGAGGAGGCCGACCAGGAAATGCGCTGGGCGAGCGCTCACTACCGGAACTTGAAAGCTTGCAATACTTGCGCGGTGAACACGTACCACTAACAAATAGACACAAACACGGCTCTTTGTTATCAAACTACCTGAACCCAGGGTGATGCAGATGAGGTCTTCCGTGTAAATTAGTTTAACCTGGCTCCAATAGCGACTCGGGTGAGACAGCGTAATAGAGACCTTCCGAACCCTTGTTTTGATGCCGAGTTAATGTCACGCTACTGTCCTTCCTGCCATGCATGCATCCTCGATTTTGGTAACTATACAGACCAGAGGCATTGCGACGTGATCCTAGCCCCGTCGGCCAACCTCGGGCCTCCCTCTTCCAGACCCATCAGAACTGGAACACCGGTCTCCCAACTCTTACTAGCCCTACCCCTAGCTCGAGAGCTCTTCGCGGTTCAGCCGCCTGATTGTCGCTATTTACGCCTTGCCTTCCCCTGTGAGGGAGGCGGCTGCTTCTGGACTTACCCTCTATGGCGAATGGTCATTGCTACGGTGCTCAGGCGAGGAGAGAACAGCTATGAGGATTTAACGCAAAGAATCGACACACTGCGAAAACGAATATTAGACTTCCAAATTGAAGCCGCTGCTTCGCTGGACATCGAAGGTCTCATTAGGAAGCGTGCAGACATTGTCAAGGAGGGCAACAGCATTGTCGGTTGCCTCGGTGAAGGGGCTCCGATTCTTGAATGGGGAGAGTTCCCATCAAGTGGGGCCTCATCGTTCGCCCAGGATATAGCTTGCCTATCATCTATAAGGCGGTCAGTAGAGAGGAGTCGAGCCACTCTGGCTTCTCCTGAACCGGTGGAGAGCGAGAACGTCATTGGCGTCATGGCGGTGGCCACTGCATTGAAGAGGTTGGGCGCAGCCAAACTGGCTCGAGATATAGAGTTGAGAGAGAGCTCAATAGTTCAGGAGCAACCACTCCCCTCTGTGGACGGGGCACTGGAGCAATTCGAGGAGGATGTGAAGTCACTGAGGAGGTTTGATCAGGTCGATCGACAATGTCATGTCTTCATGGACGGGGTAGGATCGGACGTACATAGGAAACCTGAAAATGACCATCCCGAATCTGAAGTTATCTCCGAGCCTTCTGTGGAAGATGATGTTAGTGAGGACCCCACTGAATGCCAACCATGTGAAGGGGAGTCGGAGAGGAACGAAGACGTAGGGGTAGCGGTAGAGTCGCCAGTAGTCCAAAGTAGAGTTGAGCGCATGAAGGAGGATATGGTCAAACGGATAGCCGAGCAGATTGTGAAGGCACAAGCTGCTCGGCAGAATAAGGATCAAGACGACAATGTGCTAAGTGAATACTTACAGTCGACTCCTGTTGGACGTGCATCGTGCTATGGCACGGGGGAGAGTACTGAGGGTGAGAGAGGCAAGCCGCCCTCGGAGGTCATCCATTGTGAATCCTCGAGTCAAAGTCAGCTGGACATCGGCGGTGGTGGTGTACTGACAGATTGGCTCGGAAATGACAGTTCAACCGGAGGGGAAATGCTGGACACTGAAGATCTAATGGAGTAGGGCTGGGCAGCAGACCTAGTAGCTTCAAAAAAGGGTATTCGACTGAACCTTGTCAGTTATCTCCCACCTCTAGCCGACAGCGCTCTACCAATGAACCTCACAATCAAAACGACAGCCTCAGAGGAGTTGGACAAGCTGGCAGACCTGCGGGGGAGGCTGGCACTGGAGGCTCGTCGGGAGGAGAAGAGGAAGGAAGAAGAGGCTAGACGCCTTGCTGTTGGCAGGTTAGCGCTTTCTGAGAGTGACCGACTTTGGACAGAAGGTCGTACTCAGGCGCGAGATGATCAAAGTGGCAGCCAGTGAGGAGAGGGAAACTGTGAGAAGGAAGGCGGTCCAAGGAAGGGCTGAGGAGAACCCAAATGTGAGAGGACATGACGTCAGGCTAGCGGACATCCTTGTGTATAGCAGTTGCCATCACCGGTGCGTCGAGCTAAGCAGCGGCTAGCGAAGTCGTTGAAGATGGAGGCTGAGCGAAGGCAACGGGAGGAAGAGGAGAAAAGCAAAACACAGGCCGAAATATTCAGAAAGCGCGACGAGAGGATTAACAGGTGTTTTTAATAACACTCGTCGAGGGGCAACCATATGATTACCAGATATTTGGCAAGGCAGCGAGAGAAGCTCAAAAGGGTGCCCGAGAGGAAGCCAGAGAGGAGGGTATGGCCTTACACCCAGGCTCTCCATCACCTCGTTGTAGACCCCAGTGGCGTCTCGGAGATCAGCACCTCCCGACTATTCCCTCACCCCACCTAAGACGTTGCCATCTTATAAGGCCTCAAGGCCTTGGATTGCCAATGAGTAGGTGGTAGCAGCAATAGCTTTGCCTTAGAGCCATTCTATCAGAGCTATTGGTGCCGCCTCTCCTGTTGACGGTCGAGTGTTCCTCAGTGAGGCACAAGCGAGGGACTTCAATCGTGCCGTGGTGGACCCCATCAGCCCAGTTGAGGAGGTGCCGAGGTCGCCCCGTCTGCCTGACTCCCTTGCAAGCAGCGAATCTGTGGATATTGGTGAGACGTCTGGCTAACGGGTCACTGATGGCCATATTCCTTCGTAGAGGATGAGAGCGAGCTCATCGACGATCTTCTCATCGGCATCTGATGACCACGCCGGCGGCTCCATGTGAATGAAGTGTCTCAACAAACAACGTGTCGTCTCGATGTCGGAAGGCCTTGCGTTGGCATCTTTCACATCCTTCGGAAAGAACTGGAGCCACAAACCCCTTCTGAATCGAGAGCAGTTGAGCTGTGTCATGACCCAAGTCCGAGCACCATCCTCCTCAGTAGACTCCTCAGGCCTCCTCCTACCTCCGACTCGTCGCACGACCACGCCAGACCGGCCTCGTATCGTCGCCGTGGACGTTATGCGGGGCGTAGTTATGTCAATAATGCTGGTATGGCTCAGTATGCGTGGAGTCGATAAACCGTGACAGAGGTCCTCTGTTCAGATCGTCGATGTGTGTGGCAAGACGGTGCCGAGTATCGGCCATGCTCCGTGGAATGGCCTTCATCTGGCTGATATCGTCATGCCTGGATTCATATTCGTACTGAATCTATCTCGCTAGACCTACTACCTTAGGAGCACGTATTGTTAGTTCTCCGAAGGGACATAATCCAGCAGAATCGCTGAGCGATTATCGCTCAGGTTGTTGGTACTAGCGTCAGCTTGGCGTCGTCCCCTCCCTCCACGTCCCGTGTCATCAGCCGTTGTGGGAAGCTTATCCTACTGGGCATCCTCATACAGGGGAGGTGGATGCCACAGGCAAGACCTTTACCCAGCTCCCTAGCAGTAGTTCCTGTTTCAGATCGACACTCTCACCCTCGGCTTGGACCTCTACACTTTCCGAGCCCCTGGTATCCTCCAGCGCATAGCTGTCTGCTATGCAGCTGCTGTGCTCCTTAGAAAGCTAGTCAGCGATCTTTCACCCAATGATACCGTCAAGGGTGCGCTGAAGAACAACAGTCGAGTATTACTTATGGGCTTGCTATGTATCATCATCAACTGGGCTATAATGCTCCTCGGACCTCAACCTGAGGGGTGCTCTAGAGGTTCCTTGACGCCTCAATGTAACGTCGCTAGCAACATCGACAGGATGGTCTTTGGTCCTGAGCACATGTACAGTCCTCTATGGGATCCGGAGGGCCTGCTCAGCACACTCCCTACCTTGGCAACCGTAGCCCTTGGCCTTGCTTGTGGGAAGTTTATTCAGTCGAGACCCTCCCACACCGAGCTTCTACGGCTCGTCGGCTGTGGCCTACTCCTTGCCCTCTCCGGCATGGCTCTTGGTATTGTCATTCCCGTAAGTAAGGTATTGTGGACGCCGTCATACTGCCTGCTAACGGGCGGAATCTGTGTGGCTTTCCTGGGTATCGTTTCCTCACGAGTTGGTGGAAATGTGGTATTGGCTCCCTTCAAATGGCTTGGGATGAATGCCATATTATTCTTCTGTTTGAGTGACTGTAGTGGTTTGTTTTCTTGTCTGATTGGAAGCATCTATGTCGGTGATCCTACAACTGGAAATGTGTTGTATGTGCTGACTAAGGGATATACTCAAGCGCCCGTCATGCTCACTTACGCCCTACTACAATTGGGTCTTTGGATGTGGATCTGCAGATGGCTTTCTATGCGAGGGATTTTTGTAACCATCTAAGTGGGAACCGGACCCGCACGGGCTCCGCTGAAAATAACCAGTAGCGTCGTACTATTGCGCTAGCATGACAATGATGATCTATGTTACCCTCATACGAGATTTTATTTGTAATACATCGTATTAAATACAAACTCATATTTGGATTGCTCTAACTTCGACCATGTTATGTTTCGTTGTTACTATCGCCTGTGAGTGCACAGTCAGCGGCAAAGAGCAGCCTTTGTCGCCAACTTGATCGTCCAAGCTTATGGGTTCTTGTGGCCGAGAGCCTCTTACGACTCTGAGAGGGAATTCCTCGTAATCAGAAGAAAGGGGAGTTGTTCAATATCGGCTCACTGATTTCAAAGCAGAACGACTTCTTGGAACGTTTCCGACGGGAAAGGGCAGAGGAGGTAGCCACGCGGAGAAGGAGTGTGGCACTGTAGGCAGTTCGGCTGTTCGAGAGTCCCCTCGTGGACATGAGGAGGGTGTCTTGTGTTATCCCATATTGTCATATGATAGAAATTGACGAGGACTTCGGCAGCATCGACCCTTGCACTGAGACGGATTCCTTGACCGACGAAGAGGAAAGTCCTCTGAGGAATGGTCTATACCAGTGAGCACCAATCATTTGGCGGGTGTTCACTGACATAGCGCTACAGGGGCTCTGCGCAATCAGCTTGGGATCTATACTGGTTCGTTCCTTGTCCGGAGTTTGTCGTTCTCGCTCAATCCTAGCCGTTACCGTGATTACGATTCCCGTTCTCGGTCTAAGTGAATCAGTGGAACAGTGGGACGCCATAGTCTATGATTAGATTGGAATTTGTGATTTCTGCATGACTTCGCATAGTTATTCTCGGCTTCTGTTTTCTCGTTGCTGTGGCCGGGACTCTACCACAAATGACGATCGCGAAGATTATCCGCAGAGATCTCACTGTGGCACGTATCCGTCGTCCTGACAGATCACAGTATTGGCATTGCCAGTACTAGGCTAGTATCATCACGGCAATGTTAATAGTAATATGCCTACCTATCGGTGGCTCCGCGCAATGACATGCGTGTTTTCCCTAATGAACAGGGCGTCACGCCATTGTTCATGGCCTTTTCCCTCAATATCTCAACTACTCTGCCTGTTGATCATGATATCTGCTAACGGCTATGACTTGAGTACCCAAATAGTGGGGGATGATGTACTGCGTATCTCAGGGGGAGCAACAAGCTCCAGAGTTACAGTCGTTTCCATATTGGAAGGCCTTGCACTGACATCTCTCATATACTCAGGGAAGAACCAGTATCAATGCAGCCACAAACCCTTTCTGAATCGATAGCAGTTGAGCTGTGTCATGACTCCAGACCGAGCACCATCCTCCTCAGCAGACTCCACGGGTCTCCTACTTCCGAGTCATCATACGACCACGCCTGCCCGGCCTCGTGTAGTCGCCGTGGACATCATGCGGGGCGTAGTCATGACAGTTATGCTGGTACGGCTTAGTATGCGTGGCGTCAATAAACCTTATTCAGGTGGGCGGTTTATGTATCAAAGCGGTGCCTACTATCGACCATGCTGCATGGAACGGCATCTATCCGGCTGATATCATCATGCCTGGTTTCATATTTGTGATGCATCTATATCGCTAAATCTACTAATTTCGGAGCACCTATTGTTCGTTCTTTTAAGGGTCAGAATATAGCAGATTCGCTCAGGTTGTTGGTGCTAGCGTCAGCCTGGCGTCGTCCCCTCCCCCCACCTCCCGTGTCGTCAGCCGTTGTGGCAAGCTTATCCTACTTGGCATCCTCATACAGGGGAGGTGGATGCCTCAGGCAAAACCTACACCCAGCTCTCTAGCAGTTGTCCCTATTTCAGATAGACACCCTCACTCTCGGCTTAGACCTCTACACTTTCCGAGCCCCTGGTATACTACAGCGCATAGCCGTCTGCTATGCAGCTGCTGTGCTCCTTAGAAAGCTAGTCAGCGATCTTTCACCCAATGATACCGTCAAGGGTGCGCTGATTAACAACAGTCGAGTTTTACTTATGGGCTTGCTATGTATCATCATCAACTGGGCTATAATGCTCCTCGGACCTCAACCTGAGGGGTGCTCTAGAGGTTCCTTGACGCCTCAATGTAACGTCGCTAGCAACATCGACAGGATGGTCTTTGGTGCTGAGCACATGTACAATCCTCTATGGGATTCGGAGGGCCTGCTCAGCACACTCCCTACCTTGGCAACCGTAGCCCTTGGCCTCGCTTGTGGGAAGTTCATTCAATCGAGACCCTCCCACACAGAGCTCTTACGGTTCATCGGCTGTGGCCTCCTCCTTGGCCTCTGCGGTATGAGTCTTGCTATTCTCATTCCTATAAATAAGACATTGTGGACGCCATCCTATTGCCTGCTGACGGGTGGGATGGCTGTAACTTTCCTAGGTATCGTTTCCTCAGGAGTTGGTGAAATTGTGGTATTGGCTCCTTTCAAATGGATAGGGATGAATCCCATACTATTCTTCTGCCTAAGTGACTGCAGTGGTTTGTTCTCGTGTCTGCTTGGAAGCATCTATGTCGGTGATCCTACAACAGGAAATGTGTTGTATGTGCTGACTAAGGGATATACTTTAGGGTCAGTCCTGCTCATTTACGGCCTTCTACAATGGAGCCTTTGGGTGGTGATTTGCAGATGGCTTTCTATGCGAGGGACTTTCGCAACTATTTAAATATGAGCGTAGTTGGCATGGCTTCCGCCGAAAACCATTACGCTGGCATGACTATGACGATCTTTGTTACTCCTATACGTGATCGTATGGGACGAATTTTGGGTTCCTTCAACTTCTGTCATGTTGTGTTTGTTAATGCATGGTTCGTGAGTGCACGATCAGCAGCAAGGATGAGCCTGTATTACCAACTGGATCGTCTATGCTTGTTGAAGGGGTGCCTGCAGCCGAATGGCCCTCAATGAATGTTAAACTATTCATCAACAATCACTACTGCCCAGTGAGCAGTGCTCACAGTTAAGGTCTGTCGCTTTGTTCAGTTGACACGTGCCGGGATCGAACCAGGGATCGTCTGTGCTGATAGCGCAAATCATGAAATTTCAGAACATTTCTCCCTTCGCTCCGCTGTAGATTTGCGTTCCCCCATATTCTAGGGTCACAGCAGCGAGTCAGTGTGTGTGTTGCTACAGAATAGGATTGTACTGGGGCATCACTACGACCCCCTCCTCCTTTTCAGTGTACCTGCTGCTGTTATTAGTGCTGTAGTATGGCTAAGACTAAGAAGGAAGCTCCTACTGCTGCTGCCGCCGCCGCCTCTTCTACTGCGGATGCTCAGAAATCCACGGATTGCATGATAAAGCCTTCCAGCGTGAGCCCTCCGATCAACACTTCGGAGTGGCCTCTTCTGCTGAAGAACTACGACAGGCTAAACGTGCGTACCGGACACTACACTCCTCTCCCCTTCGGCTGCTCCCCTCTTAACCGGTAATGATAGGGGTAGGCGTCATAGCTGTTCGTGATCACAGATTCTCATCGCCGTTCATTAGGAGCAATAGATCTTTGCTGTCCTCTTACGCTTTACAATACGCATATACTCGTTGTGACTGTTGTGAGAGTGTCCATAGCTATCGATCATCTCTCCTTTGGTGTAGTCCTCTCGACCAGCATTTGCTCTACGGTGTCTGTAATCTGGATAAGCCGGTTAACCCCTCCTCCCATGAGGTTGTGGCCTGGATTAAGCGCATTCTCAAGTGCGAGAAGACTGGCCACTCCGGTACCCTGGACCCCAAGGTAACGTCAATGTTTGACCTGAGCGGGTGGCTTTCCTCTCACCTTGCCAGTAGGTTTCTGGATGCCTTCTTGTGTGCCTCAATCGCGCTACTCGTCTCGTCAAGGCTCAACAGGGAGCCGGAAAGGAGTAATATACGCGGCGGGTTTCTGTGCCACAAGTGTTCGCTGTTAAGGTACGTCTGCGTGGTCCGCTTCCATGCCGACCCCGGTGGAGAGGCAGCTATCATCCGGGCCTTGGACCAGCTCACTGGTGCCCTCTTCCAGAGGCCCCCAGTCATCGCGGGTAGGAGCCTCAGCTCAATGAGCGTATGTCACATCGTCGTCGTGCCTCAGCTGTGAAGCGTCAACTTCGTATCCGTACCATCTACTGGTCTAAGCTCCTCGACTATGACGAGGAGAAGCACATGGCCGTCTTCCACGTCTCCTGTGAGGCTGGTGAGCCCCCAACCCCCTCAGGGTCCTCCATCATCGCATTCCTCTCAGGTACTTACATCCGTACCCTTTGCGTTCATATGGGCCTCCTCCTCGGTGTGGGCGCCCATATGCAGGAGCTCAGACGTGTGAGGTCTGGAAACCTCGGAGAACAAGATCAGCTCGTCACCATGCATGATCTGCTCGATGCTCAGTAGCCACTCCTACTACCAGGCCTATTCTTCTGCTATTTTGCTTACGTCAGGTATGTCTATGAGAGCACTCGATCCGAGGAGTACCTAAGACGCACTATCATGCCTCTTGGTAGGGCCGTCCTTTGCGAAGATATTAATGAATTCCTTCTTCTTCAGAACGCATTCTCGTATCTTATCCTCGCATTGTCCTCAAGGACTCCGCTGTGAATGCCGTCTGCTATGGTGCTAAGTTGATGGTTGTTGGTGTAAGCAGCCTGGTGGAAGCGTGAGGCCTCCTCAACATTTCCTCACAGGTTCTCCGTTTCGAGAATGGTATCGAGGTAGGCAAGGACGTTGTACTGATGACGACTAAGGGAGAGGCTGTCGCCCTTGGAATCGCTCAGATGACTACTGCTGTCATCGCCAGTGTTGATCATGGTGAACACATTAGCTCGGAAACTCCTATAATGGGTATTTCTGTTCGACATAGGTTGTGTGGCAACTATCAAGCGTGTCATCATGGAACGTGATACTTACGATTCCCGCTGGGGTTATGGCCCGAGGGCCTCGGAGAAGAAGAAGCTCATCCTCAACGGCAAGTTGGATGAGAAGGGAAGGTGGGTTGGGGCATTTCAAGAGGAGGTTGGGAGGTAAGGCGCGGCTCAGGCCCAACGAGAACACTCCTGAATCCTGGTTGAAGCACGAGGGTATGATCCCCAAGCTCACTGGCACTCCTGCTGAGGACAAGAAGGAGTCTCCTAAGGAGGAATCCCCTGAAGAGGAACAAGAGACAGCTCCCGTGAAGAAGGGTGAGATGAGATATTCGCTGGATTTAAGTAGTGTTGTTCGATTCAGAGAAGAAGAAGCACCACAAGAAGCGTACCGTAGAAGAAGTTGAGGAGGCCGAGGAGGAGGAGGCTGATGAAGAAGTGAGCTCAGTCAGTCCTAGTCCGCTGCTGGAAGTCACCTTGTCAGGTCGTCGAAAAGAAGAAGAAAAAGAAGAAGTCAAAGCATCATCATGAGGATGAGGCTTAAGCCTAGTTCTTTGCTCTTCCACCACCGCGGCTTAGTTGTCGCAACGTACAGTTCATCATCCGTTGACTATTAAAGCCGTCAAGCTTCCCTTTCACGTCATCACTCTAGCCTTTCTTCGGACACTACTACATTTACTACTCCAGCAGGATTGTCACTATTATCATTATGAGTAACCGTTCCATTAGCAGTCTATTCTCCCTCTACTTAAGTTGACGTATTGCTATCTCGATTTACCAGTAATGGTGTTTCTTGAGGACGATGAGTAACTGCTGACACGTTTCTCAGATGATAGACTTGAATTTAACTGTTTGGGTTAGTCAAAGATGGAGGAGTAAAAAGGCAATTCTGATTGATTCTTAGAATTGCATCCCGGACAGCTGTGGGGATATGCCACGATGACGATGGCTTTCAATGTAAAGCTTGATTGGCGTCTGAGGTGCGCGATTGACGACCCTCTCGAAAATTCCACTGACGAAACAGGACGTTGCTACAAGGAATGGTTCATAGTGTACCCGGTTCAAACGGATATCTGGGAACATGCACACTGCATTGAGTTCGACTTTTCTCGGCTTGATAACTGATCCTTCGCATGGCGACATCAGTGCAGCCGTAAAAAATAGAAAGACCATCGCTTGATGGAAGTTTCAATCACCAAACAGATGAAGTGGTCCTGATAACGGGGGCAGTCGAGAGCATGCTGATCAGGATAGTGCCGAGGCCAGGACCTCGTTGAGAGTCATCTAAATGCGCGTGTCTAGACGCTGATTTGTCCGATCCTCTTTGTACCCTCGGATCTGCGACTTGCCTGGTTTTGGTGGTAGTCCGATAACCTCCTAATAGGATTAACGGTGTTTAATGATGTTCAATCGCAATCATCTGAGGTCAAAATGTGCCAAGTTGATCATTGGCCTTGCCAGTGGAGTTGCTAAACATAGCATGGCTTCTATCCAGTGGTCTTAATCACGTTGCGAAATACAGAGGAGTCTGTTGCTCTATGCTAGCCAAAGATACCCCAAGGACGCTTTCTCAGAGGCTTTGACCATGTTGTAGAGACACATGCAACGATGCAGAAGTGGTCAAGGGATTTTTGCTCCACCGTGGTTCACTATAACTGGATAACGATAAGGCCGTGAGTGTGATGAAACCTTGCATGAATGTGATGCGTGAGTCAAGATTTGAACACGGTAGAGTCATCCAGCAGTAAACACAGCTCTTAGTCGGAGTAGGAGTTTTTGTGTCACAGGGGAACGGTTGCTGCTGCTTTCGAGCTTCGCTGCCTGTATAATGGAAGCATCGTCCATACTCTGCAAGAGGCTTCGGATGCCGCCCGGAGTAACGCCACCTATCAATGGCATCGCTGTATCATCCACCGTAACGCGGAGCAATCGATAAAGAGCAATCGTATTACTCGTACGCTTTTCCGTTACTTCTAACAAGGCTTTCGTGGCTTCGGCACCGCAACCAGGGACCTAGTAAGGAGATTGGCATTAAAGCACACAGAAACCGGCTGTTTCACAAGGTGAGGGTACGAGGTGATGATGGGCCATATAAACGCCGGGGGCCTCACTTGTCTGAGCATAGCTCCTGTTAGATCACGAATTGTGATGCCAACGGTTTTCGCACACGAGGAGGCAAACGACTCGTACGTAGTGGAGTTACCTGGAGCAACTGGGGCCGAGGAGTTCACAACGCTGGCTTACCTTCATCGACCCATGGTTGTCGAGAAATGATGTTATGCATATCAGCGAGTAGTTTAGCAGACTGACGGACTGATGGAGTATTCACAACCTGACAGCTTAGCGCTCTTCGGGCCCCACCCAACACTGGGGGCTCTCACACCGAAGCCTCCAATGACTCGAGTGTGGCAGAGTGCTGTTCGCAAGGTCGCACTCGGGAGAGTCTTCGCATAGCCGTGGCTTCGCTCTACGTCTCCTTCAATGAGATAAAAGATGCGGCGTAGAGCAGTGGCTCTGAGAGAAGCATTCAACGAGACATACGCTCACACGGAGGCGTCTCGAATCACGGAGGTTATCGAGTGAAGCACAGGAAGGAGACTGTTACTTTGATGCCAGGCGGTATTTCTGTTCGTCATAACGCCCGTCAATAATTGAAGCACTCAGATCTTGCCACGTCTTGCGTTCGCCGCCGACTCCGAGAAGAAGCTCCTTGCCATCACTCGATCGCCGCATAAGCTGAGTCGGCGAACGTTCATAGCATAGGTTTCTGCTCCTTCTCACCCATAAGAAATCGGTTATAGGAAGGCTCCGAGCCTCAGCCCGTATCCCGAGGGCTAACAGCTCTTTAAGCAGAGCACTCTCGCGGACATCAACGAGGAAAACCGCCTCCCACGATCCTGGCATTGCACGAGCGAGGGGTAGCGACTCCGGAATGGTGGAGAGTTGTTGGCTGCCGGGGTAACGATATTGGGCAAGATCGCTCTCGGGCACGGGGGCTCCCGTGTAGGAAAGTCGTCGCCGCTTCCTGGTCTGGGTGGATTCACTCCCTGTTGCGCTGCAACGTATGGAGCTCAGTGCTGCTAGAGGGAACTCAACAGATGCTAATATCCGTTGGCCGAGAAGCTCGCCAGTCTGTGTGAGGGTGTATTCCTTCTCCTTAGAGCAGCCCTGAAGAAAAGGAGATGCGTTGCCCCCTGATCGAACCTTCGGAGATACCACAACAGAGAGTAAGCCCCTGTTCTCTAGAGACTTCAACGTGGCGACACTGACAGTGAGTGATGCTGGTGTCACATTCGTTTCTTGCTCGACCGACGAGAAGGAACGAGCAACGTCTTGAATTGACGAACAACAGGCCTGAGATCGTAAAACCTCGGAAATAGGTAAGCAAGAGTTTCTACAAGAAATGATGAGAAGACAAACACTCTGCGATTGACACGTCGAATCCGCCGTTTTTTCTCCAGCTTACACTAAGTTGCTTCCGAGTGAGCCCCTCCCGGGACTCTATTGGTAGTCTGTCGTGACACAGCTGCAGAGCGAGTAAGATACACCATTGAATGCTACCTGTAACACAATTGTTCACTCATACAAACTAACTGGCTGTGTGGTCTAGTGGTATGATTCGCGCTTCGGGTGCGCGAGGTCCCGGGTTCGATTCTCGGCTCAGCCCTATGCGCAAAGCGATTTTGATTGATGTATAATCTCTCTACTCCGGCAGCAGGCCCTATACTCCTGACGACGGTCAATACCCCGGCCATGCTCAACCATAAGCGCGATAGGGTAGAACTCACCATTCGCAGGACGGTACTCCTTTTGGCGGAGCTTCGAAGTGATAGCCGGCATTTCGATGTCTTCGTGAACTGCGAATGTAGCAGTTGGTGCATTCCGTTGGAACTTCTCTGCACGGCTCCTGAGCGCAGTAGCAATATGAAATATCGTTTGCAGCTACCATTCGAAGGCCAAGAGCAGCTCCTCACTTCACCGTATCCCGCCACGTCAACGATGACCTCCTCGGAGACGTAGACGCTTCCTTTTCGGTGATCAATTGGGCGAAAACCTGCCATATGTGAAGCAAATGTCAACACACAATTGGCGAGATCTACCTGCGCGAAGGTACTGCCGACACCGTCGAGCTGCTCAGCCTGCCAACCACTGGTAATAGGCATCGGGTATCTGATCGCTCACTGCTCACTGGGATTTTCGAGAGCTTTTGACCAACGAGGCTGACTCATACTGACAGAGGCCTACTTCGTTATAGCTCGGATGATCTTCCCATATGATCGGACCAGATTCGTTTGCCCTCGACTCCTAGCAGTGTCGCGCATATCCTGGAAGCGCAGCATGAAGGCTTGGTTCTCGGGATGGCATGATAGCGTCATGTCTCTACATCTACAAACTACACTCGGGTTGGATGCGTTCGCTCACCACTTAACGAGAAACTCTCTGCAAGGAGATTTCCGACCTGCCTGTTCCACGCTTATGTAAACTCGAAAGGCAATCAATAGGGTTTTTGCATTTCTACACGCGCTATGATCTCTGTCCTCCTCCTGCGTGAAGTCGCACAACATGATATCGTTATCACGTCGCTTTCGTCATCACAGAATCGGTGTGTGAGAGTGTGAAGCAGACGGGCGCGAAGCGCAACGAGCCCCAAGAAATGAACGACCACTGCTATGCTAGACAGCAAACCGGACTATCAAGGTATTGCTCAATCCATGCAAGGAGCTGGGGGACATTTAAATGTGGTTTCAGCTCGAACACTGTTGCGCTGAAGATAAACATCAAGAAGACAGTGGCACATGGGTCCACTAGTAAGTAGTGGTGGTCCTTCACCACTGCTACATTCTGTTGGATTTTCTGTTGGAGCAACCCCGGTTGCTTGCCCTTAGGTCGAGAGCTGTTACAACGCAACGAAGTGATGTAGTGGACACCGCTGTTGATGAACACAAGCATGCGGCAATGCTTCAGAGTGGCGACTCCTTCATCTCGTGTTCATCAGATTCATCGTTCCACCACGATGGAAGGGGGTCGGGATCCGTCAGACGGACTTGAGATGGAAAACTGTAACTGGGCTGATAGGAATCCGAACTCGAAGAGTGGCAACCATGATTCGATCGTTCATGACCAGTCTTTCGGTCTCCCTGAGAATCCACTACGATCATAAGCACTCGGAGCTTCGCTCCGCTCACCTTCTGATGCAGGATTTGCACAATTCTGTCCTGACCCAGCAACAACTCCAATGCCCGCTCCCGGTCCACTGTGACAATGATAATGAAAACGGCCGCGCACATTCATCATCACCCTACCAGCCGAAAAGTCGTGGACTGTGTCAATCCGATCAGCCATCGACTTAACATCCTCACTGTGCCACAATACGGGTGGTGGGCCTACCACTCTCTAACACGACGCTAGCCCAATGAGGAAAGAGCCCACCATCTTCCGAATATCCAGCAGCAATGAGCTTCGGATCGATGCTTGCTCTCTGCGACTGCTGCTTCCGATGTAGAGCTATCTCATTCTTGACATCGTCAATACACTGCAGGAGGGATATCTAACATTACCACCACGGAGGATCCCATTGCCACTAAGCACTAACTTCTATTTCTGACCGCTGCTGCAGTTGGCGATCCAAGGTCTCCTGTAACGATCTCAACGCCAATCTACTATTGAACTCACCAATATGATAGCAAGCACGGTGACTACTTATCACTGTTGACGCGGTCCCTCAGTTCCTCGATGGTCCTACGATACCTCAGTTCCCTCTCATAGGCTCTATTCATCATCTCTGAGCGAACAGTGAAGCCACCCTTGTCAGAACTTGTCCGCTCTGACCACGGCTCCTGATCACCCGTCGTTCGGATAGACCCACCTCCCGATGCCGCACCATCATCGAAGAGTACATTATGACTGCCACCGCTCGGATCAGAGCTCGACAGTACAGATCCATCAAGACCTGATGCAGCAACCAGAAGTATCGGCCCTCCAACAAAGTCGTTAACGGTGTAGCTCCACAGCGCCTGTTGGCCCCACCAGCCCCAGTCTCCTTCCCCTGCTCCGAGATCTCCCTGAGCCGACCAACCTCTCGTTTAGCTGCAGCCTAATACCGAAGGCGTTGCATCGTTACTCGAATGACCAACTTCCAACCAATTCCTTGAGTAAACTCCGACGGTCATCTTCTCGTGCCTCAAGAGCTTTCACCAGCTTTTTTATTTCAGCTTCCAATAGCTGGTTACGCCGGTCGAACGACTGTCGGAAAAAATATCATTCAGCGAGTATCATCGCACCGTAGACCAACTTGAGCAAGTTCTCGACTAGTGCGGAGGTCCATCAACGCCTCCCGATGTCTGAACATGAGATGTATAGTCCATGAGCCGGGAAAAGACTTCTACTGAGTCTCCAGCTCTGTCGAGTAGTTATTTCTCTTTTTCCTCAAGTATTCCAGTTCTTTGGACACATCTTGCATCCTAGCTCGAAAGGCCCGCATCAGGTCTTTCTCCTGAATACCACATTTTTTTGAGCTCTCAATTAGATCTGATTTAATTGAGATCTAATCTGAGCAACGAGCTCGCACCTGGTCTTGAAGCACCTTGGATGTATTGGTCTGGATGCACTCTATTCCCGCCACCAAAGAGTCATGCATATTTCTGAATCATCACCACTCATCCTATTCCTAGCGAGTCTATCACTATCCATCACCTCAGTACGGCCATTCGACCTTGATAGTCCTCTTCAGTGACAGTCTCCTCCGGGTCACTCAACTGACACTGACCCTCGAAACCCCCCACCCTCACAGTCACCACTAACCTCAGCATCCAGCGTCTCGGTTGTCTCCATACCAACACTACCCCGCATACCAAACGCATTCAGCCGAGACCTGGGTTGTAATGGGCACCACTTCCTTACTATTTTCGGACAGGACCCAGAGTAGCACGGGAAATGAAAGTCATCGGCATACAGATAGCCGTGTCACACAATCTAATTGGTAGCCCCGACATATCCTATTCCTAGCGCTACATTGAACGTTCAGGCCGCTCAGATATCTCACCGGAACTTTTCGTCCAATTTACGAGATTTCTTTACGAGCCTCTGTAGTCTGTGTGCAACCGTATCTTCCCCATCACCTAATGAGGCACTCCGTGGGTGCGCTACTCCTATGGACATCTTTCTACTCCACATCATGCTAGGACGCAATGGGTTCCATTGTGGTTCGGAGCCCTCGTCAGGGACCGAATAGCCAGACTAGCAATCACATAGACTTGCTCACTAGGAATACCGCTTGTTGGTATCATAGTCGCATTGCAGAGTTCACAACACGCCGATGGTTTTTGTCCCTAAACGGCGACTACACCTTTTCAATCTCTACTATGTTTTTTCACTTGCTGAATTTGAGATTGAAAAAGTGTAGAGTGTGTGAGCTTAAAGTATCACTTCTGTTAAAAGGTCTTCGACATGATACGACAGTCTACTGTGGTTTCTCGAATCAAGGATCTCAATTTTTCGATATGTTACGTCGACGAGTGATAAATCAAGAGCGATGCAAGAAGGGCAGCAAGGTGCGAATACAAAGACTTTATTTTAGATGAGATGGTGGTATACGGAAGAAGGATGAATGACAAAGCCGACTGCGCAACAGGAAGTTCCGCAGAGCGACGACTCATGTCACTATAACTCCACCATTCACAACGACATGTCATTCACTCTGTGATTCAACACCCCTATAACCCGCCATCGACCCACCTCCACTTGGCCGAGCAGCCGGAGATTTGCTTTTGAGCGCCCCTTCTTCCCGACCGCGGCTCGGTATTGCTTCCGCTGGTGCCACGCCGACAGACGCTCTCCTAGTCTTCATCGATGAACAACACGCACTAGAAAACGTTCGGCAAGGAATTGATACAACGCAAAGCCGAGGAGTGTGCCATGGAGCTTGAGTGAGAACAGCGGGAGTTGACCTGGTGATAGCCACAAGGCTGAATAAACTCAGCTCGGGTGGCAACATGAAAGTACTATGGACATTTCTACGTCCCACCTCTCCCTCTGCCTTGTCGATATCAAAAGAGTTTGGAGTGATCACTGGAGTGAAGTGGCAACTTGAGTTATGTAGCTGCAACACCCAACTCCCGCGTCCGAGCTCGAGCTCGAGCAGGCGATGTCAGGAAGCTGCCAAGAGCGGACTATCACCGTCTTATCCCTAACAGGGAACGGCCCAACCGTCATCAACTCTGTGGTGGCCATGCTGAGAGCAGTTGAGAGGGACCAAGAACATGAGTGCAAAGTCCTCCCGATAGCATGCTGTCTCCCTCGATAGGTCCCTACCCGCGATTCGGTAACATCCATTTCACTGATATAGAAATACTCACCCACTACGAAGCTTATCGCAATACTAGTTAACACTACCCCCCCTCCCCCCGCCCCCACTGCCACTTCTCCCTCCTTGCCTGGAACGACGATTGAATCAGAACTCAATCATGGTGCTGATTACTGTAAAGATTCCAATGGTAGCTGTTCTCACGACCAGCTCCGGGACGTCAAGAAGGAGCTAGCCCTCGAGCTGATCTAGACCAAAACCGCCCTGGATAGTGATGCAAAGTATCCTTTACAATCAACTCCGGTCACTCCGCTCCAGTTCAAGCTACGGACGGAAGAGAGAGGGGAAACTTCGTCTGATACTACCTTTGCCCATACTCTTGTTCACAACCGGCTCAACGACACCTGCGGCAGTTTTTAATAATGCAACGCCTAGATTCATACTTGAAACAGGTATTTGTAGCCCGCCGAGATTGGGATGCTGGTGCACAAAGCGAATACGACACCTGGGAGATTCGAACTCCCGCGGGCAAAGCCCAACGGCTTAGCAGGCCGCCGCCTTAACCACTCGGCCAAAGTGTCACATAAAACTAGCACCTCAAAGTCGCGGGTTTGCTGACGGCGCTACATCCACTCCCTTTGTATCACAGAACTCGTATAGTAACGGGGGTGGCGGCGTAGAAAAATTTCCCATCAGTCGCATGCCGCACTCCGCGTATCCTACCTCCCTCATTATCGTGTAATCATCTACCGCTTCGTATCAGCGTCTACCGAATCCCCTGTTCCTCATTCGTCTTCAAGGCACACGTTGAACTCAGAATGCCTTCTCCGCGGAAGAACTCAGCGAAGTTTAGTTCTGCTGCTGAGGTAGATGAAAAGGGGGAAGCTTCGCCACAAATCGATTATGGAGAAGAATGGGAGGCCATTGAGCGAGAAGAAGAGCAGTCTAGAATTGGTAATAGTGCATCGAAAATTCAGCCTCATGCTGTACAGTCACCGTACAGCATGATGCTGAATCCCTGACTGGTCTCTCGACAAGCCGGAAGCGACTCGTAGACTCGAATGGTGAATTGTAGACTCGCATGGTCGATTCGGAAGCGCCGTTGAGAATGTGAATTTCACACAGCTGAGACACCTGATAGCGCATGAACCCCTCAACATTGCCGTACTGAGCATACAGCAGCTGCTGTCTGGTCCTTCAGCCGCGGGCCGACCGAAGAAGAAATCGTCGAGTAACCGCAAGCCTCGGCTTAATTTGTGGGATGACTGTGAAAACATGCCGGGAGCCAAGCCAAATGCTACCCCGGTCCAGCGGGAGTAGTAATTCGCTAACACTGAGCGCCTCAGTGGAGTCTTCTCGGATGTATTAGATACTTCGAGTCACGTTGTTTGAAGGTGTGGAAGCAAACGGCAAAGGAGAATCAAGCTCATGAGCGGGAGCGCTCGCGCGAGCTGGAGCGAGAAGAGGCAGAATGGTAGTAGCGTTACGGAACGGAAGCCGGCGGAGTGCTTCACCTCATCCTTCCAGTCTTGAAGACGAGATCACTGACCTCTTCGAGATGTTCCCCTTATTGGATTCGATCCTTATTCAAGACATCCACCTCTGCAGTGATCGGGACTGGGATACTACAGTGGATACCTTATTGGTAGTGGCTGGGTCCACCATTGCCTTCGGGGAGCGACCTTCTGTCTTGCAGAGGCTGAGCGGAGAGACTGATGGTTTGGACGCCCGAGTGGGGAAGCCTCCACCCAAGATGGATGATGAGAATGAATTTCCTCTCCTTGTTGGGAAAGACGATTGGCAGGTAGTGATCTCTCGCCTTCACATTTTACAAAGACGATCGTAGAGCTTCCCACATAGGTCGTTCCACGGTACATACTAAATGAAGGTAAGGAAAATGCCGCATCATCGCAGATTTCTCCGTCCACCTCCTACCTCGCGAAAGTTGTAAATGCCACCACTTCCTCCGAAAAAAAGGGAGCGACGACGCTCTAGATTGATCGATTCTGATACCCAGGGACAGGATTTTATACCATCAAGTTTATACCACAAGCATTTCATTCGATCCGCCCAATAGTGTGAGTAGCTTCGCCTTGGATAACGTTTGATTAACGTTGGATTGCGTTTTCCCTCAAATAGCCGAGTGGCGACTAGTGTATGGCCAGACCATTAGCGAGGACGAGGTATCTTCTTATGATGAGGGAGAAATCACTTGAAGTGTGAACGAGAGAGAAAAGCGTTGGGATGTGTAGGCTTTTCCGGAGACACTCGCACAGAATCAATGTCCCTTAGCTCGAGGGTTGGCTAGCTACTGAGCCTTTCTATGTTTGCTGTATTTACCTATTGGGAAAAAGGCAACTGTTGTCTTATTACGTCTCCTAAGACCAAGGCCAATCAGATGTATACCTTATATGTAGCAAACGTATTCTCTGGAGTGCAGTGATGGGTGTTTTCCTTACAATAGATCGTCAGAATGATGCCTTCACCTCGAGAGCCTGAAAATGAGACAAACGCCTCTCAGGTCACCTGGGCCAGGTGTAGTGTATTCCATTATACTGGTACGGACGAAGATGAGCATTTGGACGAGTTCCCGTAGCTCTTATCTCCCCGGGACCCCTTGATCATTCACAGGCCTCTGTGGAATGCACTCCCAATATCCAAGCCGGCTGAGCTGGAAACCTTAGGAAATTCATCCGAGTATGTACTCTTGCGATATCCGAATCGGAGATATGGTCAGACTCGGATGTACCGAATGAACAAGGCCGAATTTTGCTGAGAACAGTCTGGTGGTAACAGGGTGCGCCGTACGAGGCAAACCCCATCCCTCCACTGGTGATAACCTCATCAGTTGCACGCAAAGCAGAGATTGAACTCAACATGAACTAGTGGTGGGATAATCTAAAAGCAGTAGTGCTGGGACCCTAATAGGAGAGCCAGAAACCAACGGTATACACTGAGTGAGTGTGTGAGCAATTTTCCAGCGTGGATCGAACAACTTTACACATCACTGCTCCGTGATGAAAGGCTCAACTACGTTGGTAGAAGAGGTTATTGATGCCATTCCAGTCCTTCTGAAAAAGGAGGCCACTGTACTACATTCTATTATAGAGTATCGTACCTTATTGACGGCAGCCGCTAGACCACTACCAAGCTCCGCACGGGGAGTGCTGTTATGAGGGGTGGAGACTCCTCGGGGGGTCGGTGTTTGCGGCGGGAGTTCTCGATACGGACTGATAATGGACTGACTGTAATATCGACAATTGTGGGAGACTCTAGTAATGCAACCGCTGTGGAATTCAGGGAGAGTAAAAGTGAGGGGAATGCAAGGCATTTTTAATACCAAAATTCTACCTCTTCGGTGTGGAGCTCTTCTCGATAGGAGACCGGTCTGCTATTGGGGTCTTGGTGACACTATCTTGGCCGATAAAACTTGAAAAAAGGCTAGTGTCACCACTGAAAAGAATCATGCCAGCTTCCTATCACGTTCATGATTCTCACCTGCTTACGCTCACCACCTCCTCCTCATGGTCTCTATCTCTCCTTGCTGGAGGCCTTTCCACTGGCTGGGCCAATGCTACGTTGCTTGGTACTTGAGTACTGGTCTGTCGTGATAGACTCTCCATTGGCAGCGATGGAGCTACAGCCGCACTAACTGCTACACCTTCTGCCGCATCCGAGAGTGAGGGAGCTGCAGTTGTTGTGGTGGTGTCAAGAAGAGCCTCATCTCCACCTGTAGGGGGAATGGCAGAGACCTTCCGTGCTGACGGAGGGTCGGCTGAAGACCTACTGGAGAGCTAGCTGGGAGGAGATTAGAGCGTTGTAGCCCACCTTCTAAGGCCTGGAGTAGATCCAGCTCCAGCGGCTTGAACCGGCAACGGAGTGTTGAAGGCACTACGCTCACGGCTCATCTGCGGAGGCGCCATACCACTTGTGGTGTATGCTGACTGACTCGCTACAAGGGCGGGCGGCTGATAGATAGGTGTATAGCGCCCGGTGGCAGGAGACTGTCCCCCTGCTGCTCTCGGACTAGGCTGGTAGAGGGGTGCGTAACGGCCTGTTGCTGGGGACTGGGCTCCTGCCGCCCGTGGGCTAGGCTGATACCCGTAGACGGAGGAGGTGCGAGGACTAGCTTGGTATCTTCGTGTTGAGGTCAGACGGTCCGCATAAAGAGATAAAGCGCTGGACTCGCGATTGATACCGCGCGGTGTGAATGTGCCTCGGGGAGTGAAATCATCGGCAAACTGTGGACCATGCCTGTCACCACAACTGCATCGAGGATGGGGATGTTTCTTGTTGTACTACCTCTGTGTCGTGCCGTCCATATAAGTGTAGTTCGAAGCAGCATTCAACGCTGAAGAGGGAGGGGTATGTCTCCCACAGTTCCGAACTCGAGACTACCTTCAATATTCTTCCTCCGCTGCTCCTCCCTTGCCTCTCTCTCCCTTCGCCGTCGTTCCAACCTCTCCCGTCGAGCCTCGTACTCCGCCCAGGCCTTGGACTCGGCTTCTGGATCGTCCACATGGGTACCTAACTCCGTCGATGAGGATGCGGAGGTAAATGCCGGCGTACTACCATTTGCCTCGGTGGATGAGGGCTTACGATGGCCAGTGGCGTCACTCTCGTCATCCGCGCTCAACACCAATGAGTCCTTCGCCGATAGAGCCACGGGTCCCGACGATCCACGTCTGGAGAGTGACCTCCGCGGTGAGATAGCGTTGGGGGGAAGCTGTCTCGAATTGACGCCTTCACCAGCCGCATGATCCGCTGGATGGCTCATTGACTTGGTCGTGGAGGCCTGGGGTACGGTCCTGATGGAAATAGATGATTCCTGGGGGACGGATAAAAGGACTTGGTCTGATACTTCCCCGATTGCCGCTCTCCTTCCTGCTGCATCTTAATGGGACGAGAGGGGTCCTCACGATGCTTATGATGATGGTGATGCTCTTGTTGTTCTTCTCTTGATGGTGATGACGGACTATCACTGCTGAAGCATAAACCCATGGTATCAAACTGTCTAACTCGGCATAGGACTATCCTGAGCTAACCACGAACGCGGTAGGAGTTCTGAAGAAACCCAGGCCCGCATACGATGGAGGGTGATGAAAAACGAAGATACTGATGGTCGTAGTATAATGAACGACTGTAGTAATATTAAATGGCATGAACATAATGCCCGAGAAGATTATACTCGCGAGAAAATCTGGTAGGAATAAGAGGCGGCAATATGATGCGGTGCCTAGCAGTGAGAAGGCCAGCTAGGTCGAGAAGCTTTCAGAGATCCAGTCTCCCCGACCAGCGTCCCTAAGCTAGGAGTAGTCGAAAGATCTAATGCGGAGTTACTCGGCCTATGGGCACTACTGTAGCGCCTCAAGGTCGAGGAAGGGACGGAAGTCGAGACCTGTGGGGGTTCATAGTCCACCATGTTACTCCTGTACGGTCGCAGGTCGAGCTGAGCGCTGGGTGCCTCGGGTCGACTACTATAGAATGACGGATCATCATACATCTTCGAATAGCTCCTAAGATCTGTCCCGCGACAATGGTCGCCAGCCCAGATCGGCGTGTGCCTCGGCGGTGTACCGATAGACGCCTGTTGCCTCTCAATGTCGGAATAGAACCATGAAGGTAGGTCGTGTCGCCATCGATCACGGCCGTATAACATCCGCCTTCCAAGAGTCCTAGCTGCTAGAGTTGACGAAGACGATCCCTCCGACGAATCAGAGGATATACAGGAGACGGTATCATCGTATGCTGGACTGTGGAGATGGCCCTCGGGCCTAGCCGGTACCACACCGCGGTAGTGAGGGTAGGGTGAGCGCTCCCTTTCGATGTCATAAGCTCCCACGTCTGGTCCTGAGAGACCTCCGATGAACCCTCATTTTGTACCCCACGTACTACCCTCCTTGGTGGAGCGATGCCTGATGCCATCTCTACTACCATCCATATCGGTCAAGCGGCGGTGCTGTGAATGTCCGCTAAGCAATGACGCAGTGATAAAACACCCCCACCGGGCCATCATTACCTTGACCCTTCGACCTTACCTGTCTCCTCACTACACCGACGAGTACCTACTCCCTCTCTTCTACACAGATGGGCACAACTAAAGACTATTACATCCATCGGGGCCGCCCTCTCCTCTCGAGCACCGGCAACAGCCACCGCCGAATAGCCTATGTAACAGAGGCGTGTCTGAAAGAAGGAGCGCCATGAGTCTGTCGGGCGGGGCGGCTATGCCATAGCCTCAAGATATGCCTCAGTGTTGCTTCACTACCGAATTACAGATTAAGTTGCGACGACGGGAGAGAATATACACCGCCTAGAAGACTGCTTCACATTTAGTAAGATCAATTCCGTTGGGCGGGGCGGCTGTGCCATAACCCCAAGATATGCCTTGATGCAATAGATATTGAAGAAGCACCCGATAAAAATAATGATCATGTGAACACGACCAAATTCGACGGAATGGGGAATCGATTTTGCCATTAATGATGTCGATTTCACTCCGTCGCCGATATCGCGACACCAAGGTGTGAAGTCCTCGAATGGTAAAAAAGTATCCCCTATAATAGCCTTTCATCCCAACGCAATCAAGCTCCTACTACGTTTATCATTCTTGGAGTGGCTCGTGGCATTGGTTGTATGTCTAGAGTGAGACCTGAAGACGAAGAGATTTAGGATATATGATAGTGCGTTATCACTCCCATGGCGTCACAGTCATGTACACCCGTTAACAAACTATCCTGGCGCTTGCGCGAGAACGCGATGATGTGGGCGCATGAATCCGATGATACCGCCCAGCATGCGACGTCAGAGACGCTCCCACGGATGAGTGGGGCTTTCGTGGCAGACGGTCGTCTCCCACTACTACCTTTTCAATTTGTTGAGAATGTCGTTGAAAGTTATTCCTAGATACCACTGATCAGAGTTGAGACACATTACTGGATAAAGTTGTTTGGGTATCTGTATGCATGTGAGGATACACTTACTTATAACTGAGAGATAGAATGGCAGACAAGGAAGAATGCTTGCGAGCTGCGCACTTTGCGAAAGTGGAATTTCGTGGCGCAGTGACGTATGATCCGAACCCCTCCTCGCTGTTTACCTATTAATGCTTGACATAAACCAATCGTTTTACAACCAGAAAGCTCGAGTAAGACAGAATAGATTTGGGATGAAGTGATCCAGCAAGAACTGAAGTTAGATACAACACAAAGATACGCCACTCACCCTTCAAGCTAGTCGCTCTACCGAGGCACAGCCGGCCCTGCGTCACCTTCCAAATGAACCATACCCGACCCACTGACCACAGTCACTGAGAAGATTCGAGTACAAACGTTACAACAACGGGTAAGGGTGCATGCTCTGAGGTGGTGACGAGAACTCCTACGAGATGCAGGTTATCATGCATCGGTCCAGAGCACCTGCTGAGCGGCCGAGTTCTCCAAAGCCGAGTTAGCAAGATATAAGCTGACTCATGGGCGTCAGGTATCCCTCATTGGATGATCGACGAGCCGTCGTTGTTCGATTCGATACCCTTCCATCGATGAGTCAAATCTTCAGCTGCTCAGGTCACAACAGCTCAAGAGGAGGGCTCGTCTCGAAGCTGAGGACGGCACAGAGGAGGACTGCAGTGGCCAGACAGTAGAGTTCACGCCGATCGCTAAGAAAGCCCAGGATATCTCCCATGCCACGTAAGGGTCGGCGATGGGGCGTTATTCGCTGTGATTATTCATCTGCAGTGTCCGTCTTACGACGACGTTGAATCCAGCAAGATGAGGGCATAGTAAATGTACATGCGACGTGACTGAGTATGTGGACAAGTGAGGCCACTACTGCTGTTTTGGGTCTTCAATGATTCACAGATATGTGAGCGCCTCCCGTAATAACCCATTCAACGCCACGACTGCCCCACCTCGACCTCCAACCTTCATAACGAATACACATGTTCATCAACTCTATAATAGCTCAACGTGATGCTGTTAGAAACGCCCTGTTGTCGTGCTGGGCATCTTTGTGGGCCGTGGGCAGGCACATGTGTAGTTACTACTTTTGTAGTTGAATGGATAATATCACTTTCGAACAATTCAAGCATCGCGACTTCGCGGAGCTCACCAAGGCTGGCTTCGCGGGTAACCTCAAGGTGACCTTGGCTCAGCTGGCTGAAGGGCGTAGTGAGAAGACCGTCTCGAAGGGGGATCAACGAAGTAGTCGCCCCTGATGTGAGGGCGGTGTTTATTTGACTTGTATTCACAGGTGCCGTGAGTCCACATGCCATCGGCGATCTGTCAATCAACGGTTTCCCTGCCCTGAGAGATGAGATTAAGAAGGCTCGGGATTTCAGCAAGTCCGCAGATACCCGCCAGAAAGAGCAGAAGAGTTCATAGATAATTTGCAACTGTTGTAGCTTAATTTTTTCCAAGTGTCCTTCACCAGTCTTACCACACACCACTGAATGATTATTTTACTACGATACTGTTGAGTTAGGTTATTATACCACCTGATTCACATCATGTTGACTCCACCCTCTCAAAGAGGCTCCTTAGAGTACTAACTCTTACTCAGTAGCGAGGCGGCTGTCGTTGCTCGTCGGTGTACAACTTTACATGCCGCCTTTTGAATTTTGATTGAGACGCTACAGCAGTTGACGACGCATCAAGTGAGCCATGGGTTTCATCACAGCGTTGGTGCCTCCCAACGGTTGCAACGTATCGTCCCCCATCGACCAAGTCCGAACATTCGGACTACCATATGCCATCATTGAGGAGGAATACGGCATAACAACGACAGGAGAGGCCAGGGACCGCCGATTGAACGGTTGTTCTGCGGTGGCGACCTTGTCTCGTGGACTGAGGACGGCTCATGATCTTTACAGGTGCGCCTCCACTGCAACATTCATACCAACGGTTTGCCTCATATTGAGACCGTCGCCCATTGCCTGGCCGGGACGCCCTTCGAACCTCTTATCAAGGGAGCAGGGAAAAACCTGCGGAGAACAGGCGTGGGTCTCGTCATGGCCTTGACTGTTGCTCAACGGTGGTCATCAGGTTTTTGATTGTTTGCCGCATGGAACGTTTGAGACAGCCGTTTTAGTGAGACCCTCTGTGACGAGACTGGGAGACTCTGAAGATACTTATCCTGCTGGTCATTAGACCTCATCCATGAGTTGCTAAGGGAACTCCTTCAGGCTGCCCAGAAGATGCTGTCGTTACCAGAAGATCTCTGGAAGACGCCGTCCGTAACCTACAACTACCGTCCGACATTGGAGACTCCTCAGTTTCCATCATCATCTCGTTTAGAGATCCTTCGACACCGTCCATAGGGGACTGGGAGAATTGGCCGTAAGCCATCTTCCGGTGGTTGTTCATCTCTTCCCCCCTCGCAGATATCTCACCACGGATGCAGTCCAGGCCATGATGAACGGTGCGCTGGTGGATGCCGATGGGAGGTAAGGCTTCTTGGCTCTGCCCTAGCGGCATGCTTGCTGTTCATTAGGACCTTGCGCGTGCGTCATGTTCGCACTAATCTTCCTTCCATCGAGAAGATGGATTCTGGAGGAGGGATGTGGAATCACTGTTTGATCTTCGGCATACACAGCGAGAGGAGTGTCTCATGGTTAGAGGCTAACGATCTCCTTGATTACGATGGAGAATCCCTCAAACACGTTGTGAGTATCCAATTAATCTCGATCTGGTCTCTTCTAGGGCCGTCGCCTATGGTACTGATCCTCTCTCTTCAGCATCGCTCTACTATTGGTGAAAGCTTCTATATTCCTAATGAAGTCTCCGAAGGTATCTTCAAGCTACTGTGTACCACTGCACCCCTACAGCTAGATGCTTCCTTCGTCACGCCTCTTCTTTTCGAGTATGGTCATGATATGCTTTGATTTACATGCCGGATTCGATTCACCACCGTGTCATCATTTCTACAATTTATAACATAACTGCATCGTCGTGTTCTTACATGGTTTCCGGAGAATGTCTGTGGCCATACGGACGACACCAACGACCATCCCAACCTCTCAAGGGTCGATTGTCCACCATTCCCGAGTCCGATGGAGCTCTGGCATCCTCAGAGTGCTCGATTGTGGGGTAAATGATCTCGCAAGAAGTCCGAGTAAAAGGAACGAGTGATTCGATTCGGCGAGCGATCTTGGGAACTCGCGAGTGATTCGATGGTTCCATGATCCCAACCAGATGCTCAGCGTAGACTTGTGTGATCAGTGTACTACTGGTCCGATATTAGTCAATCGGGCAATTCCCCAACTACCGAGGCTTCAGATGGTAACACATTCGAGTTGGTGTACTTAGACGTCGTGCGAATTGTGTTCACAATAGGTAGTGCCCAACGGTGGAGAAAAGTTTTAAGGAGAGAATCGAGCTTATGCACTGAGACAATCCCTCATAATGATGGCGTCAACTGCAATAAAGACACAGAGGGGATCGTGAGACAGGCAATAGGGACGCATGGGTCGAACATGAACAGGTACACTTCCCACCAACTAGTATTGTGTAGCCAGCAGGTACAGTATGTATTCATAGCCAGAAGAATTATAACTGACGCTGTTCATTGCTTCTCTTTTGTGGGCCGTACCCATCCTATTTCGTTCGATAGCCCTACAGAAGAAGGGGCAGGTTCGATACTCGCAGAGTCCCTTTTTCTCACATTAATTACCATCCTGACTATTCTGAGCATGCCGTGTCGATCCCACCCGGGCACGTCCCAAGACCGCCTCTCGATCCCTCTGAATTCTCTGCATCAACAGCTCCACTGATACCTCTCTTGTCCTTCACTCACGTTGTGTAGAGTGCTGAGGATCTGTCGTTTCACAGAAGAAACCTTAGCATTCCATGCGGAAGCATCCCACACTTCCTGGCATCGCGATCGGTTACCCAAGAACAGTTCATTCCATTGATCCACATCATCATAGATCTGAGCAACATCGCGATGAACCTTGGTCTCTCATGGGCGAGGATGTCGGCATCTTACTCCTCTCAATGCAAGATTCACTCTTCTCGCCCGATCCTCGATAACCTCCAGCCGCTCCAATAGACTCAACAGTGACACCCTCAGAGTGAGGATATCCCTTGCCTTAGCCTGTCCCTAATCCACCAACAGTGTCTATCTACCACCACCATTACTAACCTGATTACTGGTATTACTCTCAACCTCAGCAGACCACCGATGAACTCTTCACAAGTCACACGACCAGACTCGTTGGTATCGAGGATTTTGAAGAGCTCCCGTACCATTGACGAGTCTATTCCAACCAAGGCCAACTTGCTCTGAGTCAAATCAATTGAAAACGATGAAGACCCTCTCCAGTGATAACCTTCATAACAGAATCCTTGAGGACGCAAGTGTTAAACTTATCCCATATCAGTATACCCGACTCGCCCACACCAGCACGCTCGAACGCACTCTTCATGGATCGAATAACTCTTACCTCAAGCTGGTAAACGAGCTGACGGAGCAGCGACTGTCACGCGGTGACGTAATGAGCTTCATTACCCTCCCACGTTCCTTCTCACTGTCAGCTGATACAGCCATTACTCTCTCAACCACTACCCCAACAAGGACTTTAAGCATGCCATAACAGAACGTATACACAACGAGGATTATCAACAGATTTGCCAGCCAACTCCTCTCAGCGACCTGCACGAGTCCTCCGAGCTCTGATACCTGCATCGATGGACTCGCCTCTCGCGATATCATATACCAGTTGTCAAGCGTGATCAGCTGGAAGCACGTCAGCATAGACCTGCCGATATTCCCGAAGTACCGGCTCACTTCCGGCCAGATATGCATCTGAGAGATTCCCCACCAGCTTTATGGTCACCAAGGATCGCGCTGATTACATTGTCGAAAACAGTAGCATCTCTCGGATTCTCCACAGCCATGGCTACCTAGACTGATGTAATATGTAGGGCACACAGTGTCGAATATCACCTGGCTGGGAGTGAGCAGGTGATCGGTAGACTGGCCTATTATCAGAGTGAAATAGGTAGCCACCACGAACCTAATGATGGAGCGACGAGACCTTCCCGTTCGAACCGGATCCCACATTATAGAGCCAAGTACGAGTGACAGCCAGGCCAAGGACCGGAGGATGGAGCCACTGCTAGAGACCAGTACTCGTAACCGTGTTGTCAGACCACTATTGTCACCAACTAGGGTGACAGGTCTAATAGTGATAATGATGATGCATTGCGATAAGGGATACATGAATGAAGGAGCGTACCGTATTAGTCGTACAAGCCTCATGGCTGAGCCTAGCTGTAATTTCTGCCCAGTCGGATAGGACCAATCAGAGGCCGACTCGATAGCTCTCAGGCCGAAATAGACATCATACACGCCGAAGACCAGGACCATGAGGTCCACTACTATCCACGAGTCGAGGAATATATCCCACCCTGAGGTAACACCCGGTGGTTAGAGACCTACACAGGGTCAGCGAGAAGACTGATCTCCGATGCGAGCAAGTCAGGAAGAGTGAGGTACACTGAATAACAAGAATGATTGACCCACCCAGCTTCCTCGCGTGAATGAGGAGCTCCACAATATAGGCCGCCAGACAAAGCATTTGCAGCACTTGGAAGATGAGCCTGGTAGTATTCTTCCCGACAGAGGGTTCACCCACCATGTCGATTTCTATACCAGTCAACACGGTTGACTGATGAGGTAGCGGCATAGGAGGAAGTCTGGTGGCCAATAATACTCACCGCGAGCACGACCAACCACATGATGGAGTCGAAGGAGTGCGTCCGAGTGATCGAGACAATGACGCTCTTGAGCATTCCTTCAAAGAGGTTAGTATCATCAAGAAGACCCCTAGAGGTATCATCAGAGAGATACTGACTAAGGGCAACTCCATACATCAGTAAAGGCAAAGCTAGCTCACTCAGACACCCTCCGGAACACGTGTGACTGATCATCAAGTCCATCGTCAGAACGTAGTGAATGCCCAATAACACCACTCAACCTAAGAGGGCCCGTGACTAAGACGGAACCTCGAGGCATTAACCCAGCTCGGGTTGATGCCTCGAGGTTCCCCTTTGGGTTACCCAAAGAGTACTACTATCTTACCTATCTAGGGCTTCCTTATCGACAGTGTGGGCCTTCCTTCTACTCCCCATACTTCCCTATCATAGCCAGCGACCATTCACATCACTACTCATATCCCAAACCTCACCATAAACTCGCGTGAGCGTCCTGCAATACTCCGTTACCAGCAGATGCTATACACGATTGTTTAACTTCTTACTTCCACCGTCTTGAAGTTCGTCTCTTTCGGGACCCTCAGCCGTACGGTCCTGAGGGGACCAGCGACTGAAGGCCAACACTCTGAGACGCATTCTACGACAGACTACTAGTCTGCTCTGATTTGTTAAGGGACTATGCATACTATTGCACAAGATCCAGAAGGCTGATCTTACTGGTCCATCCATCGGAACAACTCGCGCATGATCGCGTCTCCCTGTTATCATAACGAGATGTCATTACCTACACATTCACGCTAATTGAGCCCAACACTGAACTATCGAACACCGTAACCGAACTGAAATCAACTCAATGATTAGTGCTACACTACTAAATAGGAATTTCGCTAGGGACACCCTTGCTGGTCGTAATACTGACAGGTACATCGGAATATAGAGAATAGCAAGACCCTTGAGGTTATGACATACTTATGAATGTACGGGACAGATGAACGAGTGAAAGGACGATGAGAGCTTACTCGAGTCAAGAGAGTCAATGACAAGACAAGAGAGTACACCGAGTGGTGGCTCGGAGTAAAACATTCAAAGGTTCTGAAGATGATGCGGCCTACGATTGAACGATGCACTAGATGGGATGGAACGTCCTAAAGAATGAGCACATGTACTGTCAAAAGACAGCAGAGAACTTCGATTGGCTCGTAAGCGAGTACATGATATTAATTTCTCAATTCACAGCAATAGTGGATAGTAATACTAGGAGGCTCAGGTGCTGACGGTTCATGACGGAGAACTGACACAACCATCTAACATGGATTATTGGTCCTCAAGACTATACACGTAGTGAGTACAGCGACGATATCGAACCATCCAACTCGCCTCTCAACGATGTCACAAGGATCAGCAGCCCCGCAGTCGAATCACCCCGGCATCATGCCTGGTTTACGACCAATGTTTTGTAGGCAGGTCCGAATCAGTGGCCTTCCGCAAAGCAACACCTCTTAGTGTGCAAGTTCCACTATCTGTTAGCGTGAGCAGGAGAACTAGACTAAATCTCCCCTTTTCGAACATGGGGAAGTTGCCCATGTTCGGAAGGGTAGATTCCTCAGGGGAAACACATCTTCAGGTGCCCGGTGTTGCCTATCAGCAGCTGATGTAATCTCGACGACCATGCAAGGCACAGGTCTGACTAGCTGGATATCTACGTGGTTAGCAAAGACTATATGGTTCCTAAAAAGTCAGACCTTGACTAACTTAACCTATAACCGGGCTCTAGATAGGTTCTAGGGAGTCAGACTTTGACTAACGTAACCTATGACCGGGCTTCGGCCGGGTCCGGAGCGAGCAGCTGACCATCCAAGCAATATAAAATTTCAAGGTTTAAAGCTACGTCAATAAGTGCCTAGCACGTGAACATGGTCCTCCTATTCCTCGTGCTTTTCTCCAATTCTCCACTCAATAAGCGTAGCGATGAGTTCCGTCGAGAGTTACGAGAGATTGAGCATTGACTAATGCAAGCATGATTATCAACCTTGAGAGATCTCGAAGGAACAGTTAAAGGCCGGAGTATATACAATAACGAACGGGGCAATACAAGTACAAAGGATTGTTGACAAGACCATTACACTACTGTCAACTAATCATGGACTGCTTAAACATGTCGCAGTCTATTCACACAGTGAGTTCATGGGCCTGTAAGAACTGTTGCCTGAGAAAAAGTTGAGAAAAAAATGACATGAGATCATTGATCAGAACGATGTACATCTACACTGAAGAAGCGAATATATGTTCACAACACTGCAACTGTGTGAGTACAGCATGCAGTGAGTAGAGAATCGAGAAAAGTCAGAACTAAGGGGAACAAGATCGCCTAAAGACGACCTCATCACAGCTATCAATAGAATCCGAGGATCTCGATACCACACAAGCTGACTTCCAAGTCGTGAC